CCAGTGTTCTAATGCGGGAAAGAAACTATGCCTCGTGGGATTTTATGTACAAACTGCATGTTGGGGTGTGGAAGCAGAAGTGGCCTGATGGTGTGTGCCAGTGAGGCAGGTCCTTCACACCCTACCTAGACTGCTGCCAATTTCACCTATAAGCCTTTAGTGACTAAATCAAGCCGCCTGCCTCCCGGATTCAGTTAAGTCATAAAAATGGCAGGCAAGGCCCAGTGCTCTTTGCCAACCAAAGGCAGAATCATTTTCCAGTGACAAGCTATTCTCCTCCCTCTGTAGTCGTTTCAAACTTTCTGATCACTCTGGGTGGCAGGGGTGGGAGGGTTAGCGGGGGGGGGGGCACTGGGGGAGGATGAGGCGTCCACACCCCCATCTCCGGCTCAGCATCTGAGGTAGCCCGTATGCACGCGGGGGAGGGAAGGGTGACCGGAAGGAGGACCCTGCACTCCCTCCAAGTCCCCAGACGTCCACCCAGCCTCCGGACAGCCTTCCGTGCTCAAGCGGATCCTGCGAAGTGGGCGGCGCGGCGGGGCTGGAAGGGGGGCGGGGCGGGGCGGGCAGCCTTGGGAAAGCCCCGGGCCCGCGCCTGCGCATTGCCTGCCGCAGGTGCTTTCGCTTTTCGGTTTCTTCTCAGAGCCGCGGCTTCTCGGTGCCGGCTGGTTTCCCCGAAAGCACGTGGTGCGGCTGTTCCCAGCAGCCGCCTCTCCCCCCCGCCGCGCTGCAGCCCGCAGCCCGCGCGGCGCAGCGCCCCTAGCGGCAAGCACAGAAAGGCCGCGCAGGGTCCTAAAGCCCGGCCAGGTCATTCGTGGACATGTAAAAATGTATGTGAAAGCGATCCACTATCTTCACATTAGCGTTTTAGAATATATTCCCTGGGTTTTATTTATTTACATTTGCAGGACCCTTACAATAGGACTACCTTTTATTCTTATTTTTTTAATTTAGCTGTTAATTGTATGCTTTTCAATGTAATAGTCTCTGTCAGCATAACTTTGATATTCTGTCACATGAATTGTGCTTCAATTTGTCAGCTAGAAGACTTTTCACTGATATAAATAGAGCTTTGGTAACAGTGCCCTCTAGCAAAAACCTTTCACACATATCTGATCATTTCCTTGTGGTAGATTTCCTCTAAGTCCAAGAATATTGTACACGTTTTCACAAATTATGTTTATTGCTTTTATGTGGGTATGTGCGCTCCTACATGAGTTTATACGCACCACATGTTGCAGGTGCCCTCAGAGGCCAGAGGATACGGGATCCCTTGGAACTGAAACGGGTTACAGATGGTTATGAGTTGCCTACCGTGGGTAGTGGGTACTCAAGCCCTCTGTAAAAGCGAATATACTCCTAACCGCTAAGCCGCCTCTCCAGTCTCAGCATTTTAATGTTTAGCAGAATTTTTCAAGACGTACCACTTGTCATTAATGAAAAGAATTTGACTTGGCAGTACATGGCCATTCTCCCAAAAGTGTATTGGGAAGAAACATACCATGTGCACACAGCAGGTTTAAAATGTGCCATGTCATAAGAAGAGAAAAAGTTAGAGTATGATTGTGGGACACAGAGGGAGGAAAAGTCTCATCTGTAGCCGCTGATGCACTAGAATAGCCAATGGTGTCTCCCAATGGAACTTGCATGTCTAGTCTGTAAACCTCAGACACAGAGAAAACTTACTCTTTCAATGAGTATACCTGTAATCTTCGATCCTACTTGTTTTCCCAATAGTTTTGGCAGTTGCATACCCCAGAAATAGACGAAGATTTACATCAATTATAACAAGCCAATTTTCTGATAAATCATCACAATGCGTTAGCAATCTGTATTTACTCTATACATTTTGTCTTTTGAGTTAACACCAATACTAAAACAGGTGAAGACACACAAAAAAATGACATGTGCCATGTATCTTGTATTTCAATAAGCTGCAGAGTTGCTGTTAGCTGAGAAGGAAACACACACCAAGATAAGAGGCTATACAAAATCTAAACCCCAATAATTAAAATAATTTTAAAACAATGTATTCCCATTGTGTTCAACTATGTTCCAGACAAACAAAGGGTGTATATCCAGTGAAGTGGCATTCTTGGGACTGCAATGTAGCAAGACTTACAGTTGGCAAAGGAGACGTGAAAAAGCGTTGGCAGGCAATTTTAGGAATTCCAATGGACAGACATTTGGATGAATTTTAGGAATTCCAATGGACAGACATTTGGATGATGGCTACACTACTGCCAAGAAGGATAGCTTAATCTGAATGTCAGTTGAAAGGCAAGGGGGGGTCCATGAGCATTTTGCTATAACTATTTGTTGGGTATTTATCTGCCATTTTGAAACAAATCAAGGCTGTGAAGAAATTTCAAAAATCTAGCAAGTGTTTTGATGAGAGTGTCTTAAGCACAGGCTAGATAAGGCATTCTTTGAAGAGATGATGGGGCGGGGGAGAATGCCTTGGGAAAGAGAAATATGCCTGCTCCACTTGTTTTAGAATTCAGTTCTTAGATGCTCTGCTCCTCACCTATCCATACAATCTGTATCAGTGATCTAGTATATAACATACATATAACACATGCAACTTGTTCCCTAACTTAACGTGGCAAACCAGCCATTTACCACTGCTGGTTAAAGACTAGCCAATGTTCTGTTCGTCTGGGTCAGGACCATCTGGTCTTGTCTGAGTTTTATCACAAATCTAAGGCCTAACCCTGGAGAACAGTACAGACCCCACAGTGGCCCATGTGGTTGTCCTTCAGCCCCCAAAGGCTAGCTAGCCTTTCTTGTCCGGACATAGCTGGGCTCTGATACTATGTAATGCTAGCCTCCAGCTGATACAATGTTATGTCTATTGACTAATATTGTTCAAAGCAAGGCACAGGTCAGTCCAGATTCAAAGGGTGAGGCAAGCATTCCCTCCATCTGTTAGGGACGTAAGCATACCGCTGCACTGCAGAGAGACAGAGAAGATTCAAACATGTTAGTGGACTGTGTAAATGATAGTATCCATCTGCCTTGCATGTTTCTATTTCTAGTTATTATAAATATTTATTTGATAATACTTAATGCCATAAATACTTGGTGCAGCAGGACAGCCACCATTCCTTTTGCTGGAAGAAATCACAAGCCTGAGTCAGGGTGCAGAGAGAGGAACGCTCTACTCTCAGTGAACCCATGACAAGATAGGAAGAAAAAAAGATTTGAAAATGATAATTTACCAGATATGGCATTTTATTAGTTTTATGTCTTTTGTATATTTGATATTGTTGTAGCAAAGATTCAGCTTTGTGAGTTGAATGTTGTAAGACAGTATCATGTATTTGGAAGTTTCTTTCTTCTAGGTTTCCGGTTTTGGTTTTGGGATTTTTTGATTATTTGTGTGTTTGTTTGTTTTACTTACACATCTCAGTTTTTAAGGTTTGAGAATATAATTTCACCATTTTCTCCTCTCCTCCCTCCAAGCCCCACCCCATCCCCTGCTCTCCTTTCCATCTGCTTAAGGAGCCGACTGACTCTTTAGGTGAGCATTCCCAGAAGATCTAGTCGAGCCTCGGCTATACTGTGTAGAGACGTGGCGTTTGAGTTGAGATTGTTAAGATGAGTTACCCATCAAATAATTTGGAGAGCACGGACGTTGGCTCAGGGAACTTTCCAAAGAGAATAATGCTGGTCAGAGGACTGTGAGTTTGGGGAAAGAGTTTGGCTTATTCCAAGGATGAAAACGCTGAAGCAAGCAATGACAAGGGTGACACAGGTTGTCTGGAGAAAGTGATGGGGGATCATGGCTTTATAAAATGTGTTGAGAAAAGAAAAACCGTCATGATTTTTTTTTAAAGATTGGAATGACTCGGTCAGCTTTGTAATTAGATAAAAATCGCCAAAATGACTAGGCTGAGAATGAGCTAAGTGGGAGCGAAAAGTTGAGGCAAGGCAGTCTTTTGGGAAGCTACTGCAGTAATCCAGGCAAGACGATTGGGTGGTGCAAGAGGTAGAAGTATGAAACTTAGGAAACAGGGGTGAGACCCAGCGAGCCTTAAGGACAGAGCGTTGAGGACAGGGGAGAAAGCACATAGCTTCTGTGACTTGTCATACATCATTTCAAGCTAAGAACACGTATGAGGAGTAGGCTGGTGGCTTTTGTTTTGAATATAATGGACTTACAGAGTCAGTAGTATCCAAGGACAGGGAATTGCGAGCTTGGGGGAAAGCCAAGGGTTGGTATACATCTGGGAGTGATCCAGGACGTGGAAGCTACAGAGGAGCCCACCAAAGGTACAGTGGGAGTAGGGCAGATAAGGTCCTGACATTCGCATTTAGTGGTTTGGTAAAGGAGATGGGGGTCATAGACAAATCCAGAGAGGCAGGAAACGGCAAGCAGTTCTGTGTCATGATGACTAAGGGGGAAAAGCCTCAACAACAGAGGTGTCAACTGGGTTAAAGCTTTGGTTTTTTTTAACTTCTTAATTAGATTTATTCATTTTATTTCACTTAAGTGTTTTACTTGCATGCTATGTATGTGCACCGCATGCATGCTTGGTGCCTGTAGATGTCAGGGGCACCAGATCTCCTGGCACCTCCATGTGGGCACTGGCGATCCAATCTCCGTCCTCTGCAAGAGCAAGTTCTCTTAACTGCTGAGTTAAAGTTAAGTAAGTCCCTGTGCTGAAGGTTTTGAAACAGTAAGTTAAGCGGACGTCCTCTGGCTTTAGTAACACAAAGGTTAATCGCTAGTCCCCAAGTCTGCGTTCTACGTTAATGCAGGGTCTCCGAGACAGAGCATCTGTAAGCACATAGCTTCCCTTTCGTTGTTCTCCAAACTTGTAAACAGAACCTCCAGACTGCGGTTTGCACCGCTCAGCGGAGTCCCAGGTTCTCACTTGGGGTGGAAAGCAGGGACAGGAAGGGCGAGCAGCAGCCACGCAGCGCGGGGGGGATGAGGTGCATTCGCGGAACAGCCGGCTAAATCTCGTCGCTAATTGGCTGGTGCGGAAGGAGGCGGGACGCCCTCCGGCCTTTTCTCCCGCCCGGTGCTTTCGTTCTTCCACCACCGAGTCTTTTGAGGTACCCGGGCTACCTCGGGGACCGCGTCCCTCAGACCCTCTTGGGACGCAGCTGAGAGGCGCTGGGAGATCTGCCCAGACTCGGGCACCCGCGTGCAGTAAGTGAGCGCCGGGTGCGGGTGCGGGTGCGGGCGGGAATGGGGCGCCCCTCCCCAGGATTGGGGTCCTGTCCGCTGCCTTCAGATGACCTGTCATCCCGTAAAGAGAACGCGAACAGGACCACCGCCTAGCCCTTTCCCCGGCTATTCCCACTGCTGGGGTAATAGAAATAGACTTGTGCAATAGAAATCTCTCCCCGGAAGACTCTGCACCTTCCCCCTTAACCCTTGCTCGCCTCAATCTCATGGCCACTTTCCACCACTGTAACGCTTTCTTCTTTCCACAGTTGTATCAGTACTGTCCCAACCCCAGAGCCGCTGCCACCCTGTGCGTGCAACAGGCACCTAACTTGCTTGTGTTGAATCCCTAGCCTACACCCGGAGACAGCCCAGTAAGTGTTCTTGGAAACGAATACATTTATACAGCAGCCCTTAACCGGTTATTTAGTCACTGCAGAACCATTAATGGTATAATTATTTAAAACTAATTTCCTGCCACCACCAAAGAGGCCTGGGGTAGGTGTACAGGTGGGTGAAAGTTGTTTTTATCTGGCAGAAGTGACTTGAGCGCTAACTGCTCAGTGAGGATGCTGGACTCAAACTTGGATCATCACGGGGTTTGTCTTTTGCTTTCCATTGCCTACTGAAACATACAAGGTTCGGTTGAACGCACTGTTCTGTACACAGTAAGATTTATGATTTAGGCCATATTCCAGACACTCTTCAGGGCCCAGATGATGCAAATAGCAAAAACGGATCTCCTCTGAGGCTCTGATGCTTACAACACTGTGGGAGGCAGCCATAGTCTTCACAGGGAAGGCTGGACCTGATGCTATAGTAGCAGAGCAAATTGCAACAAGGCTGGAGCCAAAAGAAGCTAGATGTAGGGTGTGACAGGCCACTTTAGGAAGAAGGGCCATTAATGTAGAACGTTGACTGTTGGCAGCAGTGTGATCCAGTCTGCAAGGCATGGGCTAGACTGGGAAGGTAGGTTATTTGTAGAAGGCATGGAGACAATTGGTCCTAAGACTGGAGTGAAAGGAGTGGCCCCCCAACTCGGTTTGAGCTAGTTGACTGAGGGTGTGCCAGTCCCAGGTTTGTTGGGATGAATCTGTTGATACACCAGTTTGTTTCTGACAGTCCCAGCAAGGCCCTGTGCAGAGGAGTAAGTTGTCTGAGCACTTGGCTGATAAGAGGTTACACAGGCCCGGAGGCCTGACGGTTCATCACATCTGCTTTAGGCATGCCCCTTTTGGGGGAGGGGGGCACCCATTTGGATGTCAGCATAAGTAGATAAACCAGATGTAAAAACTCAAATCACTACACAGACATGCCACAATGATGGCCTGCAGTTCTTTTTAATGGTATTTGAAATGGTAGCTCACTTCGTAGTCCAGACGTCTCCTTGCTGCCCTTTGGAGGGACGTTTGTTCAACAGACATGACTTCCTGCACACTTTCATACCCCACCTGACAACACAGACCTTTCCCCAGAAGTCTGACAGGACTAGATTCGCTTCACCACTCTGAATGTGGCAGTGCCGGTGGACACTGGTATATGTCCTGTTGCGTGATGGTCATGCAAAATTTGTTCTTAAGAATTCCTTCAGGCGGGATGTTGGTGGCGCACACCTTTAATTCCAGCACTCAGGAGGCAGAGGTAGGCAGATCTCTGTGAGTTTGAGACCAGCTTGGTCTACAAGAGGGAGTTCCAGGACAGCCTCCAAAGCCACAGTGAAACCCTGTCTCTAAAAAACAAAAACAAAACAAAAAACAAAAGAAAAGACTTCCTTCAATCGGGGATTGCTGTAATTTTTAACCTTTAGGGTTACAATATAAAAAATGACTCAGTAGTTATCTTCTTTATTCTTTCAAATGGCGTTCAGCAATGCTGTTGAGTATTTCTCTTTTTCTGACACAGTGACTCACTGTGTAACCTTGTTGGCTAGGCTTGCTCTCATGGCCTTCTTGGATCAGCTTTCCCAAGTGCTGTGATTTCAGGCGTTGTCACCCAGACCTGAGTGTTGTTTCCATCTGTAGAGATGGTTCCTGCTGTGCTTGCCTGAGGACCCGAGTTCAGATCACCAACACCCACATAAAAAACAAACAAACAAAAACACCAGGAGTAATGACATGCAACTGTGACTTCAGTGCTGGTGAGCACATGGCTTGCTGGCGAGAAAGTCTAACCAAAATGGGTAGAGTTCCTGTCTCAAAAACGTGGAGAAGCGACTGAGGCGGATACCCTGATCTTAGCCTTGACCTCCAAATGTGCCTGCCAGCACATATACAAAAGAAAGTTTATTTCTTTTAAAGGTTGTTTAACAAAAGTACTTTACCCTATGAATCATAAATATCAACTTAAGTCAGAAAGCTGGTTCGGTGAATAAAGCTCTTGCCACCAAGCCAGAGGACTTGAGCTGCGTTTCCAGGACCCACATGGTGGAAGGAGAGAACCAACTCCTGCAGGCTGACCTCTGACCTCCCTCACACGATGTGGCACAGCCGGTGCAGTAAACAAGGTGTAATAATCATAAAACGCTGGCTTTAGAATGTTCTATACTGTGTAGAAAAGGCTTTAGGAAGTCTTGTGATATCTTAATTCTATTAATGTTTTCTACTTGATTGGTAAAAAGTAGAAATTCGTTTTTAAATATTTATTGGCTACCCAGTTTGTTTCCTCTCCTTTTCTTCAGATGGAAAAAAAAGAATGAAGTAAAAAGAAAAAAGTGCTGAGTCTGGGTAGTAAATACTCTGAAGAAAAATATGTCAAGGGAAGGGTAGTGTCTTCCAGGGAGAGGTGGTTACATCTGAACTAAGACAGCTAGAGTAGGTGGTCCTGACCTTTGAATAAAGATCTGAGGATGTGTTGTCTGCAGAAGAAAAAAAAATGATCCCAAAACCCAATAAAAAACAAATATTGGGTGTATATACCATTCAGATCATGATTTTCAGAGACCAACAGGATGTGGTTTTCAACCTGTGGGTCATGATCCCTTTGCCAATCCTCTATTTCCAAAGTACGTTTACATTATAATTCATAACAATAACAAAATTACAGTTATGAAGTAGCAATGAAAATTATTTTACGGATAGGGTCACCACAACATGAGGAGCACGGTATTAGGAAGGGTGAGAACCACTGGTATAGACACTTCTCCTGGAGCTGGAGCTGTCTGTTGACACGAGTGTTCTTTCTGCAGAGGATGTCTCAGTGGTACGAGCTTCAGCAGCTGGACTCCAAGTTCCTGGAGCAGGTTCACCAGCTGTATGATGACAGTTTCCCCATGGAAATCAGACAGTACCTGGCCCAGTGGCTAGAAAAGCAAGACTGGTAAGCAAAACTCACTGGTTACGGAATGGAGTTTGTATTTTAAAGATATTTGTTGATGGACTAACTTGGAGCTGTGTTTACAGACGATGAATCTCCCCGGTGGCCATAAAACCAAATCCGTTAGTCATTGTTAGCTAATGGCAAAAGTTTTAAGCTTTTGAAAGTATTTGACTTAAAAAGTCCAGGCCCCTGCTGATTTTGTTTCTTTCTGGACATAAATACCAGAATAGTTTTTCTGTACAATCTCTGACACTTTCTGTAAGTTTTTCATGTCAGTTGTGTGCGATAGAAATACTATGCAAATTGCTAATAAACACAATGTCAACTTAAAAAGAAAAAAGTGAACCTAAGAAACTCGTTATCTTTTGATAATCTCAGGAGGGAAAGCAGCATTTTCTTTGTGTGTCTGAAGTAGTCTCTAGAATGAGATGTAAATTCCCATCTCCTAGGGAGCACGCTGCCAACGATGATTCCTTTGCCACCATCCGTTTCCATGACCTCCTTTCTCAGCTGGATGACCAATATAGCCGCTTTTCTTTGGAGAATAATTTTTTGTTGCAGCATAACATAAGGAAAAGCAAGCGCAATCTTCAGGTATGAACCGGCTTTGTGCTTTCCTGGGAGTGTCTCTGTGCTTACTTAAAATCCTATTTATTTCCACTCAGCAGATGCTGCTCAGTACACACTCACTGGCATTTAGAGAAGTTACAGGAACAAAGACACTCGCTCTATGTGACTAATGTTTATAAAGCGTAAATATACAATTTAAATTCATTTTATAAACACCCAAGCGTTTTCAGGTTTAAGTGTGGTGCTGTAAAAAACTTGGTTTTGCTAAAAATTGTTTAATTTATACCAAAGAAAAGGGTCTCCTTTTTCAGAGCAGTGAGCTTTGTAACACATTAAACTCCAAGAAATTTTCGTGATCAATTAAATCTTAAGCCCTTGTGGGTCTAGGTGAAGATATCCCAGGAAGGTTTGGCTCACTCACGGGTTAGTCACAAGTGGGTGAGTGACTTGAACCTAAACCCACTTTGCCTTGCTTCTTTCTGGCAGACTTGTCTGCCTACCATTGGATCTTAGCTTGACTCCTGCACGCATTCTGTAGTGTAGAACTTTCTGGTTTTAATAAGAAAGAAAGGTTTCATGTGACACAACCAAACATTTCATGCTAGCTAATTGGAAGTCTTCTCTTCTGTTTTCTTTTTGAACATATCTGTGAGTTCATGTCAGTGAGCATGAAAACCATATTAAGTTTATAAAATTTTGCTCTTATTCAGACTGCTTAATGATAACTTGTTATAAGAACACAGTTGCCAGAACTTTGCAAAATAGCTTTGACAGTGGAAACAGAAAAATTGAGATGAGTATTTTTATTCTCATTAAAAGTGTAGCTGTGCTTCAGTTCCTGTGTTGAGGAGTTAGTTGAAGACTATCATGAATAGTTCTTACATCATTTGCATTGTCTCCATATCCTAATACGAGACAATTGGCTTCAAGATTGCAGGCAGATGGATACTACAGCATTTATGAAGAGGTGTAGGTGTGGCTCAGTGGTCAGAGTGCATGCATAGCTTGCCTGAAGCCCTGGATCTTACACTTAATATGGCCCCAAACCCTTACAATTCACATATGAAAATATTTTCCTTTTAAACCAAATTGCTAAAGTTAAAGTAATTTTTGTCCTAGTTTATGAAAGGAGTATTTTGTTTTTTATAAAACTATGTCTCTGGGTGTGGTGGCACATAATTTTAATCCCAACACTCAGGAGTCAAAGGTAGGTAGATCTCTGTGAATTCCAGAACAGTTATGACTACATAATGAGACCCTGTCTCAACCAAAGCAAACAAAAACAAAAACAAAAAAATTCCTTAAGTTAAATTTAGTAGACAGAAAGTAAGTTTCTCAAGGGATAGAAAAATTTGTATTAAACCAGGATTTTACAGACTTTCTATTCATGACCTTTTTTTTAATCCAAGAAATTTTTCTACAACTTCATGCATATCAGTATATAAAATAGTTATACATAGATCAGTCATTTGTTGATAATAAATAAAAAGAAATATATTTTAAAACAATTTTGGTATACTTGTAATTCTACCACCTATTAAAGGTAAAATAAAATGTACCTAGGCATTACTGGAGTCTTTGTTTAATATGATAAAATTCAAAAGCCTATTAATTTTATTCAGATTTGGGATGACAGTAGTAAAATATCAAAGGCCCTGTTTTCCACAAGTAAGCCATTATGTTACCAAAAGAACAGAAACTTTGTATGTACCCTTAAACCCTGAGTTAATCACATGCAGTCTGCTGCAGTCTGAGCCAGGCTATTTTAGACCCTGGGGCCTTACGCTGTTGGAGATAGGTACTGTGCACAGCACCCACGCGTGTGTGCTCACCCATGTGTGGAGACAGGTACTGTGCACAGCACCCACGCATGTGTGCTCACCCATGTGTGAAGGTAGGTACTGTGCACAGCACCCATGCGTGTGTGCTCACCCATGTGTGGAGACAGGTACTGTGCACAGCACCCATGCGTGTGTGCTCACCCATGTGTGGAGACAGGTACTGTGCACAGCACCCATGCGTGTGTGCTCACCCATGTGTGGAGACAGGTACTGTGCACAGCACCCACGCATGTGTGCTCACCCATGTGTGAAGGTAGGTACTGTGCACAGCACCCATGCGTGTGTGCTCACCCATGTGTGGAGGCAGGTACTGTGCACAGCACCCATGCGTGTGAGCTCACCCGTGGCATGTGCTGTGTGGAGGCAGGTACTGTGCACAGCACCCATGCGTGTGAGCTCACCTGGGGCATGTGCTGTATAGAGGCAGGTACTGTGCACAGCACCTATGCGTGTGAGCTCACCCGTGGCATGTGCTGTGTGGAGGCAGGTACTGTGCACAGCACCTATGCGTGTGAGCTCACCCGGGGCATGTGCTGTGTGGAGGCAGGTACTGTGCACAGCACCTATGCATGTGTGCTCACCCATGTGTGGAGGCAGGTACTGTGCACAGCACCTATGCGTGTGTGCTCACCCATGGCATGTGCTGTGTGGAGGCAGGTACTGTGCACAGCACCCACGCGTGTGAGCTCACCCGTGGCATGTGCTGTGTGGAGGCAGGTACTGTGCACAGTACCCATGCCTGTGTGCTCAGAAGCAAGGCTGCAGAGGAGTAAACGGTGCCACACAGGAAGAGGTGCCGGAACCCACTGCCAATTCTGATGTGTCTGACTTTTAATTGACTTGTAGTTCTGAAGCCTTTCACTGTTGCCAAAATGTCTGTGATCCTCACATTCCATTAAGACATACGGTTAGTTGTTCTGAAACTTACTTTTATCCTAACCTCCTGTGTCTAGGATAACTTCCAGGAGGATCCTGTACAGATGTCCATGATCATCTATAACTGTCTGAAGGAAGAGAGAAAGATTTTGGAAAATGCCCAAAGATTTAATCAGGTACTTTATCCTAAGCAGGTACTTGATAGGGGAAGTTCTGTGTATATGTCAATAAAGCACTGTGGCCAATAGGGAACCAAGATAGGTGGGACTAGGAGTCCAGGAGGACTCTGGAAAGGAGAAACACAGGAAGTCAAGATGTAACGCCATGGGGTAGGAAGCCCAGAAAGTTCTCCGGTAAGAGAAATACTTAGATTAACAATTATGGGGTAATTACTTAAGTCAGAGCTAGCAAGTAAGAAACAAGCAAGGCCAACAGCTTCATAATTAATATAGCCTACTGTGTGTTTATTTGGGACTGATGTGGCTCTAGAACCAGGCTGGCAGGAAGGCTTCTCTCAAGGAAAAGGCTTTTCTTTACAGGTACTAACGGTTAGAATAGAAACATGTTGTGTATTTCACAGATATTACCACGGCCTCTCCTAAGTCACTGATGCATACACCTCTGGTTTTATAACTTCAAGAACCAGAGATGGTGAGATCCAGGAGTTTATTAGAACGGTGCTTTAAGAGGTGTCATTGTCTAGTGCAGGTGATTCTCAGTGAGATCAAAAGCCCATAGTGAGGTATTTGCAGATAGTGGTGAAGATAGCATGATGCATTGTGACATGACTGGGCGGGGCCTGTGTTGTCATCAGGTCAGGAGTGAAAGCAAGCAAAAGCGATGTGTTGTGGTAGCGGGAAAAACCCACCGATTCAGGTTGTGTGGGGGACAGTGAATAACCACTTTACAGTTGTGGCTTGAGTCACTTGGAGAATGCTGTCTACTGAGAGAGAAGTCAGAGCAAGGCGGGGACCTGATGTTTGCAGGACACATCAGACTTGCAAGGAGAAGGAAAAATCAATAGGGCAATAAGAGCTTCGTTTTGAATGGGATGAAGACACTCATTAAATGTTCAGACATCAAACAGTGCGTGAATCAGAGTTGTAATATTACCGTGTTTGGGGGCGTGGCTTTCCTAGTCATCTAGTAGGCCTTCCTGCCAACTGGGTTCAGCGAGGATTTTGCAGTTGTAGCAGCATTTTCATTCCTTTTTCGAGAAGTGCTGTGGGACCATGAAAACAAGGTAGGCAGGTAGCTGTGGAACCACTGTCGGATGAGTTTCAGTCAGAACAGTCCAGTCCTAGAAGGAGAATTCAGGGGGCGCAGTAACACCTGTGCCTTGTGCATTTCACCAGCTGATAACGAGGTGAGGCAGCTGATAACGATAAAGAGGCAGACAATGCTGGGGACGGCCTGTCTCCCTGCTCTTGTGAACACTTGCCACACGTCTGCAGAAATTGATAATTTACTTCCTATACCCCTGTGACCGTGAAAACACCCGGTGTGCTGAGTGCGTGAAGATTATTTGTCCTAAACTCAAGCTGGATGGTTCATTTGGTACCTACCCTAATGTGTGTCAGCACTAGAGTGAAATCTGGCTGCCTTGGCTCCCAGCAGAGAATGCCTGCCTCTCATCTGGCATTCCTGTAAGAAGCCTCCAGAGGAAGTTTTTGTTTATGTGGCATTCTCATGCTAACAGCAGCATGCAGGGGTCTCCCTGGGTATCAGATACACTGGCTTGGCAGAAGGGCAGACTGCCCACCTTTGCACATTGGTATGCGACTCTTCACATTTGACCTCTAGCCTAGAGAAGGCATTGCACGCAGCAGGGGCAATTTCTGCTCTGCCATACCAGCCCCACCCTCTGGCTAGTCACGAGGACTTGAAGACTTGCCCACTTTTGAGCTCCTGTTAAAGCACATATGACTTGGGGAGAGGTTCATTTGAGCCTCCCTGATGAACCTGAGAGTTGGACAACGGAAAGGCCTTTAAGGGTGAGAAGGAAAGTCTTAGCATTGGGGATGGGGTGGGGTGGGGTGGGTTGAGCTCGGGAAAGTAAAAGGCACAACAGTCACCCTTGCTCTAGTCTGACATTTCTTTGCCATTCCCCCCTTGCTGAGGTTGACATTTTCTTTTCATTGTTAAGCATATATGACATACTTCAGTAGGGTAAGAAGGGTGACAAGTCTTATGTGTGTGAAAATGCAGTTTGGGGGACAGTGGGATCCATGGGATGTGGATGAAATGTCCTTATAAGTGTGCGTGGCTCCAGCAAGTTAAACACGTCAAGCATGCGAAGTTCTGAGTTGGCTCTGAGCATTTCAAGAACGTAGAATTACATAGATACATTGACACCGTAGGCGTTTTCCTGTTGTTCTTCTGTGTAGCTGTGCCTGTGTGTGTGTAAGCCTATGCATGAGCACGTTGAGGCCAGAGGACATGAGAAGCTTCCTGTTTGCCCCGTCACTCTCCGCTGAAATCTGGAGCTTTCTCGGGCTTGGCTGGCTGGCTGTGACTTCTCAGGATCTGCATGTCTCTGCCCTGGGGTTATAGGAATACCTTGACACACCTGGGCTTTACACGGTGCTGGGGATTTGAACTCAGGTCCTCTTGCATTCACACCAAGGGCTTTTACCCACTGAGTCTTCTCCCCACCCTCCCACCGTTTTTTAGAAAATATCATTTTTAGAAAAAAATTTTACGTTACACATACGTAAATGTTTTGTCTGCTGCCTTTGCTGCTTCTGTGGTTGCAGTGTCCCTGGGTTGTTAAAAGCTTTAGAGTCATCTTAATGATATTGGCTTTCAATGAGTGCCAGTGTGGTCCCAAAGTAGCAACGGGGGTAGGGTAGAGGCATGGAGGGAGGCGAGAGGGAAATCCTAGAGTCACATGAATGGATTGAAGCAGGAAGATCTTGGGTCTCCTCAATTGCCAGGCTTTTCCACAAACAGCATATAGCAGCAAGGCAGCTGTGAGGGAGTGTATCCTATTCTTAACATTTCTGTCCACACCCCTGGTCACCCAACTAGCCTTTGGTAGTTTGGGAGGGGACCAGGAAGTCAGGCTCCTCCAGTTACTTCTCCCTCCATTGGGTGTAATGCTTTAGTAGGGCACATACAGCATGACACCCACATTTGGGGCTTGGAAGTAGATGACAGTGTATCTCCTTGGATGGGCAGGAGCTTCCTTATGGAGTTACACAAGGAAATGGCTCGTTCTGAATGGCTAGAGAAGTCCCTTTTCACATACTTCTGATACTGCCAGCAGTCAGATATTCCAAACTTCTGCTGAAATGAAACAACAACAACAAAAAACCTCAAAAACCAAAAACTTTCTGTAGAACTTAATAAAAATAGGGCAGGAAACATTTACAGACCAGATTTGCTTATGGATGTCTGTGTAATATCCACATGAAAACCCTAAGTAAAAGGGCATGAAACAGAATTAAGTGCTGTACTCTAAAAAATGACTAAGAAGGGTTTATTAGAGGTTACAAAGGTAGACTCTGTCCGGGAGATCTATTAGTATAATTCGCTGTCTTACTAGATATGAGAAGAAAAAAAAAAAAAGGCCTTTGCTTTTCTGCAAAGATTCCAGAAGGTTCTGATAAAGTCCTGATCCCATACAGCAGAGAAAATGACGGCTATTAACGATGTGTTTTCCATTCAAGGCGCGGGAGGGGAACATTCAGAACACTGTGATGTTAGATAAACAGAAGGAGCTGGACGGCAAAGTCAGAAACGTGAAGGACCAAGTCATGGTGAGTACCGCGTGAACACACGTGCTTCTCTGTAACTTCAGAAGGGAAGACGTCAGTTTCTCCGAGTGTAAGTAAAGCTAATGTAATAACTAATCCAAGTTGAAAAGAGAAAAGTCGTTCTACACAGAAGCAAGCAGGTCGGGCAGCTCCGTGCCTACAGCCTCTGCTCTGGCTTCTTTTTCTTCTTTGAGGTTGATGCAGTCAAAGTTGGCTTTGCCCTCATTATCCAACAAGCTATATGCTGTACTAACCGGCCTTTGTATCCACACTCCTCACAAGGCGTCCCTGGAGTTACCAGGCCTCCAGGGTAAACGTGCCCGTCTTCTAGAGCAGTTTACTCTAGGGCTCAGAAGATGAACAAAACCATTTCATTCAAATGTGTCTCAACACACTGAATTAGAATGAGAGGCCTACAGCAACTTTAAGACCCAGACAACGGTTGATGGAAGCAAATGACCGAGGGGACCCCTGTCCACCCCACTCCATTTGATGGTTATTTGTGGAAAAGGCCTCCCAGCTGAGCCGTTCCGTAGTGCCTTAGGTCTGGGTAACAGGAGCAGGGCCTAGACTTGAGTCCAGACAGCATCCTTCTGAACCCCAGATCCTTGCAGCAGCTTTGCTCTGGAGTATATTAGGGAACTTCTCCACTAAAGTAGAAATGCATGACCTTAATGTGGAAATAGCCAGGGAAATCCAGAGGAAGAATATGTAGAAATGTGACCAGATCTCAAAAACATGAGGCTCATCTGTAGGGTGAACATACAATTTCTTGTTCAAGCTGAGCTGTGTCAGAGTAAGAGGACTCTGGTGATCACACCAGGACTGCCCTAGTCACACTGGCATGGCTGCTCACCCCAATCACACAGTCACACAGGCACACCTGCTCACCTTTCTTACTTCTAGGGGCAAGGTTTTCCATGAGCTTATTTTTTTCCTCACGGTATACTGTGAGATTATTAAATCATTGAGACTCAAATGTGATAAGCAAGGGCTGGGGAGATGGTTCGGTAGGTAGATCACTTGCTGAATAAGTGTGAGGACCTGAGTTCAAATCCCCAGAACCCATTTAAAAAGCTGGGGTGTCCAATTACATCTGTAACCTAGGTATGCTATGGTGTGGCTGATATCGCTGAGGCTTGTTGGCTTTGAGCCAGGCTCACTGAGGGACCCTATCTCAGGGAAACTGCATAGAGTGATAGAGCGGGATGCCCAAAGTTCTCCTCTGCTCCTCTGGCCTCCTCGTGAATGCACGGGCCGCCTACACATGCACGCACCTATTCACGCATGCAAGTGTACAGAAACATCACAAGTTAGACCTGGAGCCAGGTGATGTAAGTTTGAAATTCTTACATATTTTTTTTGTTTTGAGAAATGTTCTTAAATTATAAATCTCTCTTAATATTAAAATATAAGGGAACAGAGAGCTGACGCAGCAGGATTAATTACTAGATCACTTAGAAATTAGTTTTATTTTTGCTTTAGGCTAACTTGTAGGACACTGGGGAAGTATAGACATACAACAAAACTAGCAGCATTCCTTTTGAGGACTTAACACGACTTAATAAGAGTGGAAAAGCAGCTCTCTGGTGTTGGAAGAATGAGGTGCGTGATTCTTACTGGAGGCTGCAGTGAAAAGGTGTCCTTGCACCCACTGAGCAAAGGGGGCTGCACTGGTTCACATCACAGGGCTGCAGGTTCCGAGTCACCCACCGCAGTTAATGATTCTTGGTGTAGAAGACAAAGGGAATATCTCATAAGAAGCTTCATGATAGTTTGCTTCTTGTTAAATCTGACAAGCCTGAAAACATTCATATCTCAGAAGAGGCACTCACTCTGAGTCACTTAGAGTCAACTTCTTCCCAGGCAGTTAAAATAAAAGTTCAAATGTTTGGGATTTAAATGACCAACTATACTCCCAAATCCATAAAAATATTCCAGAACAGACGGATCAAGATTAACTCTCCCAAGCATTCCTGACTGCATGAAACATACATATTATTTCTGCCCTTTGGAAGACTGTAGACAGGTTTGGTAGATTAGCTCGTAGTGTGAGGATTGACCCCACTCTGATGAATACGGAACACGTTTCATTCATGACATCTCTTGTCGGGGTCTGAACACAGTGCTAGGAAGTAATTGTTTTCCTATCAGGGTACTTGGGACATGGGGGTAATCTAGAATCAAGGTAGTACAAAGCACATGCATGGTGATAGCAGACTGTGGGTAGGTCTGTACCCTACTCGTGTCCTTCCAAGTCTCTACTTCTGTTCTATCAGGATGAACTCATGCAGCCTCCCTGAGAAAGTTCTTGAACTCTTTGAAACAAGTATTCCCGATTTGGTGTTGGGTCTAAATGCTGCACAATTGTATAGTCAGGAATTACAGGAGCTTAACCAGGATAGCTTGTTTTAAGCTAGTTGTCCTAGCCTCTCCTCTTTGTAGCTCGGGACAGCCCACTCGTCTACTCTGAGTGCTGACATACCAGCGGTGCTCCTGCTGTATCATTGATCCACTTTCTGGACTGTGACCAAGAATTGTGTGTTCACAGTCACTTTCTTCAACTTAGAACTGAACACAACTTCATCTTTGTTAGCACAGGGGCCTGGGACCTGCAGGCAAGCTAACACTGACATTAAAGGTGGTATATAATCACCCACAGAACGACTGTATTCCCAGAAGGTAGGGATGGTGGGGGGAAGAGGTGGGGTCTGTGCTCCCCATCTTAACACTGGACTGCTTCTTGTCCTTACTTCAAAGGAAAGTGTCCAAAGTCTTCGGTCTGTCACATAATCCTCTTTGTCCATAGGCGAGTCATAGACCGTCGGTGAAGATCGGTAGTGAGATCTCAACCACTGTTCTCCACTGGGCCAACAGTGGTAGGCTCTGGATAAGAAGAGGGGCTAAAATTTACTAGCATATTATAACCACTAAGTGACAAGTAGGTCATGCCAGGGCTGTACCTGGTCGTACAGCTCATGCATGACAAACATGGGAGTGATGCTGGGTGAATGAGATGGAATATAACTCAACACACTGACTCTGAGCTGAAGGGGAAGCTGCCGAGGGGCGTGGTTTGGGTGTAGGCCTAGTCTGTGCAACAGTTTTCAGTCCTAATAGTGTCTGCTGTCCAGGGCTACTGACCAGACATGGTGGTGCTGTGGTACATTTGAAGTTTCTCCAAAATCTCATTAAGGCTTTAAGACTGAAGAGAGGTACGAGGGCAAGTGCAGTGTACCAGAGGGTCCAGGATGTCATGCTATAACATGTACAGATCAGTGTACTGGGAGGCAGGATGACACTTTATAATATGTACAGTTCAATGTACCAGAGGGGCAATGTCTTAGGATTTCTATTCCTGTGAAGAGACACATTACCATGGAAACTCTTATAAAGAAAACATTTAGTTGGGTGACTTAGTTTCAGAGGTTTAGTCCATTATTACCATGGTGGGACATGGCAGCGTGCAGGCAGATGTGGTGCTGGAGAAGGAGCTGAGAGTTCTACATTTTGCAGGCAACAGGAAGTGGACTGTCTCACTGAGCGTGCCTTGAGCATGTATGAGACCTCAAAGCCTGTCTCCACAGTGACATACTTCCTACAACAAAGCCACATCACCTAACAGTGCCACTCTCTTTGGAGGTAATTTTCTTTCAAACCACCACATTCCACTCCATGGCCCCCAAAGGATTGTAGCCATATCACAATGCATTCAGTCCAGCGTCAAAAGTCACCATAGTCTAAACAGTCTCACACTTATTTGAAAGTCTGAAGTTCAAAGTGTCTTCTGAGATTCATGCAGTTTCTTAACTGAAATCCTCCAAAAAATAAAAAAGCAGATCACATGCTTTCTAACACATAATGGCACTGGATACACATTACTGTTCCAGAAAGTCTGGAAGGGAGCATAGAGAGGAAATACAAGACCAAAGCAAGATCAAAAGCCAGCTGGGCAAACTCCAAACTCTGCAGCTCCATGTCTGATGTCAAAGTACTCTTTAGATCACCAATGCCTTTCAGCTTTGTTGGCTGCAACACACTTCTTTTTCTTGGGTTGGTTCCATCCCTGTTAGCAGCTTTCCTTGGCAGGTATCCCATGACTCTGGCATCTTCATATCTTGGGATCTCTAAGGCAATCCAGGCTTCAACTTCACAGCTTCATGCAATGGCCTCTCTATAGATCTCTATTCAGGGACACCCTGATACATGCCTGGCCTCAGGGATGCTTTCCTTAGTCACAGAGGCAAATTCCATAACCTCATCCTTTTATGCTTAACTCCAGTACCATGTGCCTGAAACTGCCAGGTTCTGCTGCTTACTGGGGTTGGAACATGGCCCCCTTGTGCAATTACATCTTCACCAACTTTCTGTTTTCGATGGATTCCTTCACTGCCTAAGCTTGGATGTCCTTGAGCTTCCTCTGAAGACCAGGCTGGCCTCAAACTCAGAGATCTGCCAGCCTCTGCCTTAGGAGTGCTGGGATTAAAGGCATGTACCACCACACTTGACTCTAAGCTTTTCTTTAATTCCTTTTCCCAAATTGGAAATTTAACTGGGTGAGATCTTGCCCTGAGGTCACCTCTCCATTTATTCCATTTCTTAATTTGTTTGTCTCCTTGAACACAGGATTTAACTCCATTCTACTTCCTGGGGCCCCCTTTCTCCTCAAATTGTTCATCTTGCAGTTTTCCTTGTTCAGCTTGCTCCTTTTCATTATAAATCTTCATTAGAGCTACCACTAATCACCACATGACAGAGTCTATACTAGGCTGATTGAGATTTCCTCTGTTGATGGAATTAATTCACATTTCTTCACTTTAGCCTCAAGCAGGCTCTTCAGACAAGGACAAAAAGTAGCCACATTCTTTACCAGAATATGAGATGATCTCTAGGCCACATATTAATATTCTTCTCTTCTGAAACCTCTTGAGCCAGACCCACACAGTTCAAATCACCCTTAGCACCACTGTCCTCTCTGATCCCACTTGTATGGCCCATTAAGCAGTGCTTAAAACATTCCACTGCTTTCCTAACCCAAAGTACTTAAGTCCAAATTCTTCCAAACACACACATGGTCAGGCCTATCATAGCAATATCCCAGGCCCTGGTACCAAGTTCTGCCTTAGTTAAGGTTTCTTTTGCTGTGAGAGACCCCATGACCACAACAACTATTACAAAGGAAAACACTTAATTAGGTGGCTTACAGTTCAGAGATTTAGATGATTTTCCAATATCATCATGGAAGGACATAGTGGCCTGCAGACAGACATGGTTCTGGAGAAGGAGCTGAGGGTTCTACATCTTGCAGGCAATAGGAAATGGATTGGGCATGGCTTGAGCACATATGAGGCCTCTCAAAGTCTTCCTCCACAGTGACACACTTCCTCCCATAAGACCACACCTACTCTAACAAGGCCATACCTTGCACTTTGGCACAATAGTGCCACTCCCTTTGGGGGGCATTTTCTTTCAAACCACCACAAGCAGGGTGTCACGTTATAATATGTACAGTTCAATGTAGCAGATGTCCAGGATGGTGTGTTATAATATGTACAGTTCTATGTACCAGAGGGACCAGGATTCCAAGTCATAATATGTACAGTTTAATGTATCACAGGAGCCACGATGATGTTATATGTACAGTTCAATGTACAAGAGGGGCCAGAAGACCATGTTATATTATGTTCTAATCAGTTTTCCAGGTATCTCAGTGTATATCATGCAAGACGTAGATGAAGTCCCATGCTAAAGTCACTTTCCTGGATTTTGTTTCCTTTCTCATCTGATGGTTCTGTCAATAAGGGATGCACCAGAGCTCACCTCTCCATGCATCGTGTTCCCCTGGAAGCCACAGGGTTCCACCTTCTGAAAAATGTCCTTACATTCTTATTACTGAAATATTTTGTGTAGAAGATTAGAGTCCTATAAGGCTGGCTCATCTTTCAGGGTGTTAGAAAACCTATTTTTATCTCTATTTGCAGTGCATAGAACATGAAATCAAGACACTAGAAGATTTACAAGATGAATATGACTTCAAGTGCAAAACCTCGCAGAACAGAGGTAAGAATTAAAACAGTATCTGTTGGCTACATTTCTCCTCTGTCTATAGTAGTGCACATTTGCCAGATGTTTTCTTATTGGTTGACTGCCTTGGGCTTTTTGATGACTCGGGCCAGTGTGTTTTAAGAGCTCAGTTCTGCTGACAGTTTGGGCCAGTTATTTTTCTTTGCAGCACTGTCTCATGTCTTGTAGTTTGTTTAGCAGCATCTGTAATTCAGTCACCAGATGCTCATAGTACTACCCACCAACCCCCAGTAGTGACAATCAAAATTGCTCCCAGCCATTGTCAGATGTTTTAAGGGAGGAAGACAAAATATTTGTTGGCAAAGATAGGATGGTACACAAATGGAGTTTTTGTATCCTAACACCCATAGACACTGCCATAGTGTAGCATTTCTCAAATGTGACAGCAACATCACCTGTTTTATTGTTGCCTCTTTTTAATAGATGGCAATAGAAACTAAAATGGCCACAGAAGGTCAGTCTACAGAGCACAGCACCCTAGTACTCGTCTGGTCAATAGGGAGAGATTATTAGTGGATCTGGGAGAAGATGTGTGGAGAAAAGGAACTTAGCTGCTTGTCACTTCTCCCTCAAAACCACAGACATGCTTTGTATGAACACTTATGTGAAGTTTCGCACTTTGTTATAATCATTTAAGCAAAATTTGGATCATGAAATAAATAGTAGATTTCCAATTTTACATGGAAATTCATAGTTTTCTAGTTCATGTGGGTTGCCGAGTCCTGGTACTTGGTTGAGTGTGAATGAATTTAACTGCTTTTGTACTTAGGATAGTTTTTCCTCATTTTTCAGTAATTGTTATCTTGTGCCTTTCCCTGATGCTGTGAGAAAATACTCTTAACAAGAGCAGCTTATGGGAGAAGGGCTCTGTTTTAGCTTACAGTTCAAGATGCAGTTTTTTACAGCCAGTAAGCTTGGAGCAGCTGTCACATTGCATCTGCAGGCAGGCAGCAGAGAGAGACAAATGCATGCTTTAGTTAAGTTCCCTCTCTCCATTGTACAGTCCAGGATCCCTGCCCAGGGACTAGTCTCCACCACAGTCCAGGTGGGTTTTCAGTCATCGAATTCACTAACACCTCGCAGGCATACCAGGCGCCTGTCCCCAGGTGATCGTAGATGCTGTCAAATTTACAATCAACATCAAACAAGAGTCAGACTTTGCATTTTACCATGTCTTACCTAAATTTCTGTGAATATTGGCTTTAGTTGATTTATCTTCTTGCACATTTATACTCCTGTCTCTTCATTCACAGAAAGTGAAGCCAACGGTGTGGCAAAGAATGACCAAAAGCAAGAACAGCTGCTGCTCCACAAGATGTTTCTAATGCTTGACAACAAGAGAAAGGTAGCAACTGCTTCCCAGGTTAAAGGAGAGAAGAGGTTCCATTCTTTAACTGCATTTTATGTAGCTTGGTGGGCAGAGACTAGAGGACAGCTTGCAGGAGTCACTCCTGCCCTGCCACTCTGTAAGTCCTGGGAATCAAGCACCTTTCCCTGCTGAGCCAGCCCGCCGGCCTGGAAAATTTCTATCTGTTACCACTTTGCTTAGGATGAAGAGAGACATGCTGGCTTTAAAAATCTTTCCAAGATCAGTAGTTACAAATGCATTTATTTCCCCTTGGTTCTTCCCTTTTCTCTAGGAGATAGTTCACAAGATAAGAGAGTTGTTGAATGCCATCGAGCTCACACAGAACAACCTGATTAACGATGAGTTAGTGGAGTGGAAGCGAAGACAGCAGAGCGCCTGTATCGGGGGGCCACCCAACGCTTGCCTTGACCAGCTGCAAAGCTGGTAAGATTTTCCTGCCATGGAATAGTGTAGCTGGGAGTTGAATGGACCCCATCAGCACTGCACTGGAGACTTTATGCAGCTCAGCTTCTTGCCCTAGAACATTTAGGAAAGGCTGTTGCCCTTGGTTTGCACATACATCATCGGACTGTACCAAGACTCAAGTGACATAGTTGTTACCTACCCCATTTACCAACTTGAGACCTGATACTTATTAAAAGCGAAATATCTTAAGGGATTTTCCAGGCTTAAATGAAGTAATAGTTTCTTATGGGCCATCCTTTCAGTCATCCATCCACTACATAACCTGTGAAATGTTGACTGGATGGTAAGCACTGTTCTGGGACTTGGACACCCAAGGAGACTGATGGTTGGGGCTTTTCGCTCAGGACTTTGCACTGGCTGAGAGTGAAGGGATACTTGAGGGGAATGGGGAGGAATTCCTTCCAGCAAGAGACTCGCATGATGGAGGCACAGAAATGAGGGTCTGCTGGGCAACTGGAGAAGGGACAGAGATGGGCCCTGGCAGCAAGAGGTGCTACTGCTGACTCTGGACAGTCTCACCCCTTCTCGAACCAGCGTCGCTCTGCTGGCCTTGAAAGCAAAGCAGGACTCTCCCTTACGTAGGGGCTGCGTTTTCTCCTTGTTGTTTAGAGAGGTCACCCTGGCAGCAGACTACAGGACAGAATAGAGACTGAAGTCCATCGGTTTGCTGCTGGTCTGTTGTTGTGGTCTAAGGGAGAGCCTTCGAGAACACTGAGGATGGAGCGGAGGGATCCAGGAATGAAAGTGAAGGGGATGGAGGTTTAAGATAGTCACCAGGCACCCCAGGGCCAGAGGTCTTGAGATTGAACAAGTTTTTCAAGTTAAAATTAACATGCAGCCATTTATCTTTATCTATAAATTGTCCGTATATATCCTAAAGTGCTTGTGGGTAGAGAAGAATCCCCCACCTTGCTTGACCCTTGTACTTTGAGGCTACTGCTCCTTAGGCCCTAAGCCTTCAGCTGGTCAGTCCTGGTCTCTCTGGAGCATGGTGGCTGCTCTATGTCACAAAGCCTCTTTCGGTGGCCCTGACTCTCAGTATGTAGATTGCCACTTTCTCTGGGAGTGGCATCTTCTAGGAGACTGGGCAGACTCTTCTCAGCAAAGCACCCAGACACCACTGTACTTTCTCAAGTCATGATGAGGAGCCCCCAGTGATGTGGGTCCGAGCTGTACAGCCATCAGGAGAAGTAGGTATTTTCAGTGAGGAGAAGGCATTTTTCAAAGATTTTCTACCCTGGTCCTCTGAATAGCGTAGCACTCCAGCGTGCCTGGCCAGGAGCTGTGACATTAGCAGTTGACCATCAGGGAGGGAAAGCCCAAGAGCGGTCACTAGCTTCCTCCTTACTGAGGTTTGTGGGCGTGGCCTGTGCCACTTCTCCTTTCTTTCCTGTCCACCTCTAAGCTGTGCTGACTCCAACCCCTCATAGTGTCCCTAGAGGCCTTGCAGTGTCCGCCTCCCTTAAAGCCATCAGTGGCTCCCCGGTGCCTTGTGTCACCCGACGGCATCTACTTTGCTGGTCCCCTGTCTGTCCTCCGTGCTCTACCTTTTTGAAATCCTAGATACTTGGAGTCAGAGATCACCTGGAGCCCTGCCTTTCCCTGGTAGACTTGCTTTGTATAGCTGTCCTAGGGTTTCTATTGCTGTGATTTTTAAAAATGACTAAAAGCAACTTGAGGAGGAAAGGGTTTATTTCAGCCTACAACTCTCAGCTCACACTCCATCACTGAGGGAAGTCAGGGCAGGAACCCAAAGTAGGAATCTGGACTCAGGAAGCCATACGGTATTCTGCTTGCTGAACTGCTCCCCTTGGTTCCTCAGCCTGCTCTTTATTCACCCAGGACAACCTGCCCAGGGTTGGCACATCCGCAGTGGGTTGGGTCTGCTCACATCAGTCACTGATTGAGAAAAATGCATGCCTAGGCAGTCTGATGGAGGCTCTTTTTCTGTTGAGGTTCCTTTCCCCAGAAAACTGTAGCTTGTGTCGAGTTCTCAAAACATCTAGGCCGGTAGCTCTCAGAAGCGTGTTGTAATTCTTCAGGGCATGCCAATCTTTACAAGTCACTGAGCTTAACATTACCCCGGGCCTCCTCCCCATGCCTCCCTGAGTGTGAAGTATAGCACCACAAGTTGATTCTGCGGTTTTCTTTAAGCCAGGCTGCCTTGGGGCTGTGGCTCACTGAGACTCACATCTTGTACCTTCCCAGGTTCACCATTGTCGCAGAGAGTCTGCAGCAGGTCCGTCAGCAGCTTAAAAAGCTGGAGGAGTTGGAACAGAAATTCACCTATGAACCGGACCCTATTACAAAAAACAAGCAGGTGTTATCAGATCGCACCTTTGTCCTCTTCCAGCAGCTCATTCAGAGGTAAGCCCAGGAGGGCTGGCTTTATCCAGAACACCTGCGGCCATTCAGACAGTTTGGAAGGGTTTGATGGGCTATGCAAGTGTTTAATGGCACTTGATTCTACCTCAATGTGTGGCCTGTGCCAATGCCTCTTCCTTATTTTGGCTTCCTAGGGGCCGTGTTGTAAATTTTACTCCTTCTGTCCTCAGCCAGTCTATATGTCTAGGCCAGCAAGCCTGACCTCAGAATGTCTGTCTTCTTCTCCCTGTATGGTGGCCTCACCGCATGCCAGGCCCCCATATCCAGTCTTCTGATCTCCCGCAGCAGCCTCCCAACCAGCCCTTCACAGCCTTTCTGCCTAGGTTCTGAGACCCACAGCAGGCTTTTGGTCTGGTCCTTCATTATGTGCAATTACGTGGATCCCTCAGGCTACACAGCCCCTTTACCCAGTGACCTGGAGGCAGCTGCACACTTGGAGCAGATAGTACTTTTCTGACCCAGTTTCTCAGACTCTCAAAATAGTTTTCAGTGCTCCAGTGTTTTCAGTCCTTCAATCTTTCCATCTATTTCCTCTTGGGGGAAAATTATTTTTTACTGCATTAACTTTTATAGAAATGCTAATTTGCTTATACTTTGCTGGATGTTGACAGCTCATTTGTGGTGGAACGGCAGCCCTGTATGCCAACTCATCCTCAGAGGCCATTGGTTTTGAAGACTGGGGTACAGTTCACTGTGAAGTTGAGGTAATGAAGTCATAGTCCCACATGCTGCCTGTCCCAGGATTCATGTCTTGTCTTCCCCGCCTTTTTAAACCCTGACTTGCTTTAGATTATAATCCTCCTGCCTCAGCTTTCTAAGTGGTGGGATAATAGGTGTGTGTACCACCACATCTAGCCCTTTAATTTTCTTTTATAAAATGGTCATATAAAGTGCTCTAGAGAAAACAGTTTTCTAGTAGGCATTTTAATATGAATTCTTACTTTGAAGAGCCAATGATTATGCTAAAAAATAGAACTATAACTAATTTTCTAATTGTAATATAAACTGAGAATTTCAGAAATGTGTATAACAGACCATTAAAGCTCTCAGCAGCCTTCCCCATGATGAGCATAGGCTCATAAAGAGCTTTATGTCTCCCAGATAGACACTGAGATAATGTGTGTGGGTGTAGATTAAGGCATGTATGATTTTCTGTCAGTGAACTCATATCTGTCACCAGGCCGAACCAGTGGTCTGTGATCTAAATATCTGTGGACATCTGCAGTAGGCTTCCCACATCTATCCTGCTGTAATTTTGTCCATAGATATAAAAAAGTGTGCATGTTTCACCTGTAGACATATGTATGTAAATACATGGCATACAGCATTTCAGTTGTTAAAACTAGGATTATATTAGTATAACACCTGCTTTTCTCCTAGCTGCAGTCGTAGAGATGCTCTGTATATGCTTTGGCGTGCTCTAGGGAGTGGCTGCACTCTGGGGGTGAGCAACTAGACCCGGCAGAGCTGGCTTGTGTTCTGCAGGGTGCTGCTGTGGGTACCTAGGAGTTGTGTCTCTAGCAGGCAGTGTTACTGCAGCCCACATAAGCACCAGTGAAACCTAGAGTTCGCAGCTGATAGGAAAGAGGAAATTCCCCGTCACCTGCTCCCCATCAGAGGCTGCAGCCACTCCCCCACCCCACGGTCTCTAGCTCTCAGAGCAGAGGCACGTGGAGTCTTAGTCTACTCCCTCCTGCACCACCAGTGTTCGGGGGCCACCCTGCTGTTTTCTGGTTATGGGTAGTAGTTGTAATTCAATTTCTTGGTGGTGCTTTATATTTTCTCCCAATAGCACAGGAAATTAAATACACGTTTTGTAAAGAGTGACGTTTACTTTCTTGCCCATGTAATATTGATCAAAAGTCGGCACTTGGGTTAGAACTGTGTTGGTGGGTTACATACGAAAGCACTGCTGTCACTAACTTTTGTTAGAAGGTAAAGTCAGTGCTGTGTTCCGTGAGAGGCTAATGTTGGAATTTTGTCCCAGCATTGTCAGCCAGGAATTGATTCTAGAGATACACATAAGAAGAAAAGCCAATGTATATGCACGTATGTATGTATGTACGTATGTATGTATGTATTGTAATAGCCCTAATCCAAAAATGAAGAGAGTGGTTTATATAAATGCTTACAGTTGGGGAATTTGCTTAATAAATAAATTTTAGCCAATAGGATTTTTTAAAGGTAATGACTATTATTTTTCTTTCCAGACTGCTGGTGAAATTACAAGAGCTGAATTATAATTTGAAAGTGAAAGTCTCATTTGATAAGTAAGATTTCTTTAGTCTTGTCTAAGATACTATGTTAAATGCTGGCTTTGTTAACCTCCCTATCAAATAAGCAGATCGGAAATTCTTCCCAGGACCCAGGGCTGAACTGCATGTAGGTCCTGAGACTGGCCAGTGAGGAGAGGCTCCTTTTGAGCTACCCCAGGGCCATTCACCACAGGCCTTCCCTAGCAGACTTAGCTCACTGGCTCCTTCTCTGAGAGCGGAGAGCTTGGCCTGGAGCAGGTGCTTCCCTGACTAACAAAAGTGCAGAGGAGAGGACATTGCCGTCCTCAGGTCTAAAGCAGTTGGACTTTGCACATCACACCTGCTAGGCCAGCCCCAGAGAAGAGGCCCTTAGTGCAGCGCACACCCAAAGATCCCGGCTGTGGTCTGTAGCCAGTCGGGAGGTTGTTTCTGGAGTGCTGTGAGAGACATCCGGGGCTGGGGCGAGGTGGTGCTGTGCAGCCTGGCACATTCACTGTGTCTCCTTGGGCAGTGGAGGGAACCTAGCAACGGAAGGACCTGCTATGTCAGTTCAAGTGAAGGAGCCTCATCCTGCTTTCCCTTGGGCACTACATCTCGGTCAGCACTGGCCTAGCCACACCACTTACTTTTAAGAAACACGCTCCCCACCCCAGACACCTACTGCTTTTGGTAGGCTGTGTTGTGTGCTGGTTTAGCTTGTTTCAGAATGATTTAGGATGATTCAGAGCAGCTTCCTCTGACTTCTGTGTTTTCCCAGCACCTTAAGAGTATTCTTCATTGGGCTGTGTGCCTTTCCCTTCCTGTGGTCATCCCTGGTCTTCTGGGTATCAGTTAGTTTTTGCTGTGTAGCAAATCATCCCCAAAATTCAGTGACTTGAAACTTCAAAGCTTATTACTGCTCACATTGTATAAGCTGTAAGTAATCCTTTGGTATAGCTCGATTGGGACCGGCTGTCCCTGCGTGGCCTCTCCACCTATCTGGAGTCTCAGCGAGTGAGACTAGCTGTTCTGGCATGGCGTCCTTAGCGGTCTGGAGTCTCAGCGAGTGGGACTGACTGTCCTGCTATTGCCTCCTTCCTGTCTGGGTCTCAGCTGGAATTACTGAGTTCATCTTCATGGACCTGACCTTTCTGCATGGTGGCAAGCATCAAGGCCTGTGGAGGTTCACTTGGAATGTGCATAGTGCAGTTGCTGGACGCTAGTCCAGGCCCCTGAGACGCTGGGTGCTTCCCAGAGCCCGTCACACTCTCTGTAGCTCAGTGCTCTTCCTTGTGTGCCCCTTGTCTTTTCTAGTCCAACTCGGCTTTTTCATCTAAGACTTCACGTGGCAGCGTTGTAGCACAAAGCTTTTTCTATGCAGAGGAGGAAATGAGTTCCTTTTGAGGAACTTTTTATTCCTAAAAACACTGACCTCCTAGTTGAGATAAAAGGGTAGTGAACTGTCCATACATGTACTACTGCTATGTGCTGCTCAGTGAGAACCTGCTATCTTAGTCCATTTGGTGTTGCTATAACAAAATACTTGACTTGGGTATCTTATAAAGAATTGAGGTTTATTTATCTCACATTTCTGGAGTCTAGGAGACTCAAGATCTGGTGGCAGGACACTGACAAGGGCCTTGTGGATGACATCACATGGCAGAATTGCCTGTGACAGTCACATAGAAGAAGCAAGTTGGGAAAGCCACTTGTCCTTCCAAAGTCCCATCCTGTCCTACAATACAAACTCTAGTCCCCTGGGGCCTGGTGACCTAACCCCCTCTCTTCAGGACCTGACGCTAGCACTCAGCTTCCCCCTAGTGGGGACCAAAGCATTAGTAATGGTCTCTGTAGCAGAGCATGAAGGAAATCACTGGATTTATATTTATATGAACTCTTCCATGGTCCTTCCCTTCCTTCCTTTCCCTCCCCTTCCCTCCCCTTCCCTCCCCTTCCCTCCCCTTCCCTCCCCTTCCCTTCCCTTCCCTTCCCTTCCCTTTCTTCCCTGTTGTAGAGGAAGAAGACATACTTACTGAGTAAGCTGTAAGAGGGCAGTGGGCTAGGAAGTAACTACAGTACCACCTGCAGCAGCCTGTGCACTGACCTTTTATGTTCTATTGTACACCTGTGTGACCATAAGCATCCATTTTGTATCCGTTAAAACTTATTTCAAATTTACATGTTTTTGTTTCTTTTACAGAGATGTGAACGAGAGAAACACAGTGAAGGGGTAAGTAAGTGAGATGTTTTCTCTGTATTTTGCTGACTTGTTTGTCTAGTAGTTTGAAGCATTTTGAGGATTTGTGTCTTGCCCTGTATAGATTCCGGAAGTTCAACATTTTGGGCACACACACAAAAGTGATGAACATGGAGGAGTCCACCAACGGAAGTCTGGCAGCCGAGTTCCGACACCTGGTAGGCAGAGCACTTTGTGGTCTTAAAACTCCCTCTGGTCCTTTGGAACCATTGTAGTGTGTTGGTCCCTAGACTCTCCCCACTGTGGCATCCTGGTCCCTTGTCCATATCCCATGTCTCCTCATTGTGTTTTCGACAGGCTCTCCCCAGAAACACTCTTGGGGCTGTGCTGATCTCAGTAAAGTACTTCCTAAGCTGGCATACATATTAATTATATAAGCACTCACCAACTCTGTCTGTGAGCCATTGCCATGGCTCCTTTAGTGTCCTCCAGGGAACCATTTCCATGTTCCCCATCACCTCTCCTACCTTCCAAGTGTGTAGCAGTTTGCCTACCACTGTTGCAAGAGGAAACCCCCAGTGCACCGGTGGAGAAGGGCAGTACTTCCTTCTGCCTCCGTGAACTCAGTTCTGGGACTTAGCCTGAAGGGAGGTTAATGGCACCTTTTTTACTGGGTGCCAGCATGTGAGCCACAGACCTCTTAGCTAGGGAGCTACATGTGAGGGGAAAACCTCTGTCTAACTTGGGTGTCTGTGAGTGTCCAAAACAGCCCTTTAAACCTCACGGATTGAAGTGTGAACTGGAAAACTAAGTCTGCCTGGGGCGCCGAGCCCAGCCTGAGAGACTGCTAAAGCAGACAAGGAGCCAGGGCCATGAAAGAACTGCTGAAGTTGCTTGATGTACCATTGCACACAGGAGGCGCTTTATTGATGTACCATTGCACACAGGAGGCGCTTGATTGATGTACCATTGCACACAGGAGGTGCTTTATTGATGTACCATTGCACACAGAAGGCGCTTGATTGATGTACCATTGCACACAGGAGGTACTTGATTGATGTACCATTGCACACAGAAGGTGTTTGATTGATGTACCATTGCACACAGAAGGTGCTCTATTGATGTACCATTGCACACAGAAGGCGCTTGATTGATGTACCATTGCACACAGGAGGTACTTGATTGATGTACCATTGCACACAGAAGGCGCTTGATTGATGTACCATTGCACACAGAAGGCGCTCTATTGATGTACCATTGCACACAGAAGGTGCTCTATTGATGTACCATTGCACACAGAAGGCGCTTGATTGATGTACCATTGCACACAGAAGGTGCTCTATTGATGTACCATTGCACACAGAAGGTACTTGATTGATGTACCATTGCACACAGAAGGCGCTTTATTGATGTACCATTGCACACAGAAGGAAGGGCTTCGGGTCTGGGGCATGTCTCCATCAGTGTGCCCATATCCCACCAGGCTGCTGGAAGAGTCACTTCCCTCTTGTTCTGTGAAGATGATCACGTCTTTCTTTCAAGTCCTGACTCAGAACCGATTTGTGAATAAAGGTATTGACTGTGATGAATAACTTGCCTTTTGTTTCTTCTTTATAGCAACTGAAAGAACAGAAAAATGCTGGCAACAGAACTAATGAGGTAAGCATCTCTGGGTTGGGAGTGGGTCCTAACCAGACTGATGTGTTAGGAGGGGACACATCATACAGGTTCTCAGACCTGACAGGGTGTCTGTGGGGATAGAGAAATGCCATGCCTTTGTACTTTTGGGGTGGAAGGCAGTTTAACCCACAGTCTTATTGAATCCACAAAGACAGCCAACTGGATGGAGCATGGTGGGCTTTTGTATTGTCCATATCGGTGTGAAGAAATGGAGACTCAGAAGTTAGCATAATTTGACAAAGAATATACAAAAAAGTCTGGAGTGAAAGACTGCACATGATTATCTTAGTTATGTTTACTAACTATGATGAAGCATGATGTTTCATGTGTGATGAAACACATGAACTAAAAGGAAGTTGGAGAGGAAAGGGTGTATGTGGTTTACACTTCCACATTGTAGTCCATCACTGAAGGAAGCCAGGGCAGAACTCACAATGGACAGGAACCTGGAGGCAGGAGCTGGTGCAGAGGCCATGGAGGAGGATGCTGCTTGTTCCCCATAACTTGCTCAGCCTGCTTTCTTGTAGAAGCCAGGACCACCCGCCCAGGGATGGCCCCACCCACCATGGCTGGGCCCTCCCCCATGATCATGAATTAAGAAAATGCCCTACAACCAGATCTTATGGAGGTTTTTTCTCAATTGAAGTTCCCTCCTCTCAGATGACTCTAGCTTGTATCAGGTTGATATAAAATTAGCCACTGAAGACCTAATGTGGAGGATTCCCTGCTACTGTGTCTCCTACACAGTAGCATTGCCTTGTCACAGATCCCTTTTACAGCCTGGGCCTTAGAAGTTATGTTTGTGGTGACTGAAAACTGAGAGATAGTTGGGTGCAGTGACCCACGCCTTTAATCCCAGCATTCGGGAGGCAGAAACAGGAGGATCTCTGTGAGTTGGAGGCTAACCTGGTCTGTAATAGGAGATCCAGGACATCCAGGGTTGTTACACAGAGAAACACTAGCTCAAAACAACAGAAAGAAAAGAAAAGAGAAGGGAGGCATGAGAGATGGGTAGATGGCACAGTGTCTGCGTCTGGCTTGGTTTGCAATCATCGTTTGCTGTCATTCCGTGTCACAACCAGCAGAGGTCACTGAAACCACGAGACAAATGCTGGCCTGTGCAGCATGGACACCACCTTCCAATGAGTGTAATTCCTTAGCTGGCTTTGTGGCCTCCTAGGTCCAGCAGCTCCCTCTGCAATTCTAACACAGTGCAATGGTTGCAGGACAGATGTGTAGGAAGGCACTTTGAAAACCATTTCCTTCTGCCATACCAATGCACTTATGACCGTCTAGCTTCATGGGTTAGGTAGCCCTTTCAGTAGAGGCTCTCACTCGGGAGACACGCACTCTGTGCCTTCGCCTCTCCCACCGCGTGAGGTGTGCGGTCCCCGTGAGCAGGCAGATGGCTGCCGGTCAGGAGGGCAAAGCCATTGGTAGTTGCCGCTTTCCCACTGATGTTTCTTTCTCTAAATAGACCTGCCGTAATTACAAACACCTTTGAAAGAGCACCAAGAAGCTTGGAATATTAAAATCTGGTGTAGAGTATTGCGTTCTGAAGTCTTCTGGAGTACAGTTGATTTGAGGATCTCTACAGCCTGTTTGGGTTTTGAGAGTTGCAGGATCAGTGATCGGGCTGTTTTCTTTTCCTTTTCCAAGGGGCCTCTCATCGTCACCGAGGAACTTCACTCTCTTAGCTTTGAGACCCAGTTATGCCAGCCAGGCTTGGTAATCGACCTCGAGGTAAGATTTACAGCTTCCCAAGGGAGAATGCACTGTATTTTTACTTCCACAAAGTTTGGATTTTCAGATTTTCTTTCAGAGTTACATATCTAATAGTTTAAAAAAATGGATGATCCCTTAAAACTTTTTATTAATTTAAAACTCCTATTGATGTTTTATCTGCATGTATGTCTGGTGCCTGCAGAGGCCAGAAGAGGGCATCAGATCCACTGGGACCCAAATTACAGACAGTTGTGAGCCACCATGTGGTGGTGGGAATCAAATCTGAGTCCTCTGAAAGAGCAACCAGTGCCCTTAACTGCTGAGCCACTGCTTGCCCCCAAGGTGATTTTTTTCCAGCTAATACTGGGTTGACACTAGTGATCTAGGAAGACAGAGACTTAAATTAACCTTAAAGTTTTCTAAATGCAGTGTTCTGACTGAGGTAGCCAGTGTTGAGTGCTTAACGATTAGAACTGTTATTCAAATGATCTCAAGGTGTCCATTCACTTTTAGACCACCTCCCTGCCCGTCGTGGTGATCTCCAACGTCAGCCAGCTCCCCAGTGGTTGGGCATCTATACTGTGGTACAACATGCTGGTGACAGAACCCAGGGTATGGAAAACACATTTTCTCTAGTGCATTTACCCCGGACTGACGCTGCTGGCTGCTCCAGTGACCCTGAGGCATCTCTAGAGTGGGGAAATAGCCAGGCACACATGTAGACCAGTGGTTTTCCTCCCATGTGGGCGAACTTGGGCAGCCGATGATTCTATTTCTCTGGTGTAGAGTGAGTCCCTTGGTGTTTCTTGTTTTAAAATGTGTGCATTTATTAAGTGAGCATGAATGGAATAAGACTGGTTAGTTGACTCTTATTAGGTGAAATACTCCTGTTCTCTAAAGTAGCCGGAACTCTTGCTAAACACAGAATCATTTCTTCCAGGGCAAGAGCAGAGTTCAGTTTCTGTCAGCCTCCAGTCACAGCATTTGTGTCAGCCATCGATAATTAACTTCCGTATCTTTCTTTTTAAAGGCACCTGACCTAATGTATTTGTCCACTTGCTACCACTGACTGTGTAGCCAGCCGAATGACACTATAAGTCGTGCCTGCGTGAAGCTTATCTGACACACATTCTTTCCATGTGGACCCCTGACTTTCCTGTGCTTAGGCACATCATACCACATCAGCACAACCTTTGGCACCATTTTAAACAATAAAGTCATCAACAAAAATCACGAAAATTCAAAAATCAGAGAGGCCAAGACAGTTGTGAACTGCAGTGAAAAGCAGAATGTTGCATTATTCCATCAAATTTGGGAACACCAGTGTGTGGCCACAAAGTTGTGTGTGGTCACCAGTGTGTGGCCACAAAGTTGTGTGTGGTCACCAGTGTGTGACCACAAAGTTGCCTCAAGCATTGATTTTGGAGTTACAAGTAAATGTTAGTGAGTAAATAGATTCTAATAATCCTAATTCTGGGACTCTCATCCCCAGCTATGACAGCCTGTGTGTCACATAAGCTAGCCCTGAGCTCTGGAGCAGGCTGCTTCTGTGCTGCTTGTGGCCGGTGGCTCCTGTGTGACCCTAGCCTCTGGGTGTTTCTTTCTAGAACCTCTCCTTCTTCCTGAACCCACCATGTGCGCGCTGGTCCCAGCTCTCCGAGGTCCTGAGCTGGCAGTTTTCATCAGTCACCAAGAGAGGTCTCAATGCAGACCAGCTGAGCATGCTGGGAGAGAAACTTCTGGGTATGGTGGGCATGTACCACACCAGTTTTCTCTTTCAATCTTTATTCTGTTTCTTAAAGGTGGGAGAATGTTAACAATCAGTTGGCCTTTCAATTACAGCCAGCTATAGCCAAGTGAGATTACTGCTTTGAAAACAAATGAAATCCTGGTAAAGGAGCAAGTGAATCCCCTCCACTCCCCACCCTCCACTCCCACCCTCCACCACTCTCTTAACATTTCAAGAGGGAATCTTAGGGGGGAGGTTTTAGATTATGAAAATATATTGCATGAACCTGACATAAGTTACTGATGAGACACATTAGAGCATACCTGTCCTTAGGGAGTAAGGGGGACAGTTCCTGACACAGAATAAAGTTCTAGGCTTAAAATCCCCAGAGTCTTGGGTCAGGTGGGCCCATGTTGCAGGAGGCAGGCCCAGTTCTGTTGTCAAGCAGAGTCTGGACTATGGGAGTTAGTTCTGTCTCAGTGGCTGATGTCAGAGGACTTACCTTCTACAGTGAAACATCAAAACCTCACATCACTGACAGACCTTCCAGTGAACGGGAGTGTCTGAACCATATTTATAAATTTCCATTGATACTGTTGTCTGCGTTTGCTGTCTGTGTAGCAGGCTGGTGTAGACTGCAGCAGAATTGGGCTCTTCTCAACCAGGTGGCCCTCAGGAGTGCCTTCTCTGAAATGTGCACACTAACAAAGGCCTAAAAGATCATGTTCTCTATCTGAGTTTAATGAGATGCAAGGATTTTTTTTCCCTGCTGGTTGCTTATCTGTGGTGTTCCTTAACCAAAGGCAGTGGACTTAACATAGATCAGACCATGTGCTGTTTTAATTTCTATGGCTAATCATGACTATGGTTTGTATCAATCTGAGCCAGTGTCCAATTAGTGAGGAGGCGAGGAAAATAACTAAAGTCTAAAGTCAACTTATAAAATCAAGTACCAGTTTGGTCTTACTTTGAACCGTTCAATTAATCTGTAGGGCTTTTGGTGGGGGAAACTTTGTAGGCAATTATGGGAGCAACAGGAAATCATCCTGGATGGGGGTGGGACAGAGAGCTTCTCCAGAGAGCCTTGTGGGGCCTGGGGGCACAGACAGATCATGCCAGGGTGAGATCAGCTTGGAAGGGAGTGTCATGTATGGAGATTTAGAGATTTGTCCTCTCCTAGAAGGAGAGCTAAAAGGCAGCAGATGGCAGGGCTTTCTAATGCTTCAGCTTTTTCTGCAAACTTTCCTAATCAGATGCCCATAGCTCTACCTGTTCCTCCATGCCCTTAGAATCAGGCAGGTGTGGCGTGCACATCTATCTGTAAGGCGTGGTGGTGCACATCTGTAATCTCAGCGTGGGTGGAGCCTGTGATGAGTTTGAGGCCGGCTTGGGCTACACAGGGAGACCCTGTCTTACAAAACAAAGAAGTGAGTGAAATAAAACCACCATTCGTGGGTTTGAGACTACTTGGTGGTATTCACTTAGTCTGTGTAAGTGATGATCCATCCCCACTTAGTGTAGCAGAGACATACATAGTCAACCATGACATAGTCACCCTTTGCAGCAAGTTCTTCCATCTTCAGGAGCCACACAAAATATACAAAGCTGTTGTTCTGGCTAGAGCATCAGATCAATTTCAGTCCCATAAAAAGGCTTTGTTTTTTTTTCCCCCATAGGTCCTAATGCTGGCCCTGATGGCCTTATTCCATGGACAAGGTTCTGTAAGGTGGGTGCTGCATGGATTTTACAACTGTGACCCTATGTTCTTTCCACTCTGGGGAGGCTTTCCTCTTTCTCACTGTGATAGATCACCGTTTGCTTATTCTGGCATGTTTATCTGTCCCCCACAAACTGCCTAGGGCAAATTGTTTACTTTCCTTCAGTTCAGGAGGTTGCCTCCAAGCAAAGCCCGACAGGAAGCACCTGCCTGGGCGATAACATTCTCCCCCATCCAAAAGCGTCTCCAGCCCTCACGCTGCCTCTTAATCAGCAGGCTTTTGGCTAAGACCGTGTGAAATGTGTGCAGTGTCTGGTGCAGAACCCTCAGGCTGAGGGCATTTGTACAGGATGTTGACACCCACGCCAGGGCCACCAGCTAGAGCTGAGCTGCTCACACTGGCCTCTGCTAGTGTGAGGGCAGCCCTTGTTTTTCAGTCATGGGGAATCCATCCCTGCTGGGTGCTGCAGTTGGGAGAGGGAGCCAGGGAAAAGAAGAGCACCAGTAAGCCAGTCAGAGGCTGGGGACCCAGGCACCCCCCACTCAGGGACAGCTGCCACTCGTGCTTGCCCTGGGGCCTCTTTGGAAGGGACAGGGCAAGCCACTGCTTTGGTTAACAGGTTGTGCATTTGTATACTTGCAGGAAAATATTAATGATAAAAACTTCTCCTTCTGGCCTTGGATTGACACCATCCTAGAGCTCATTAAGAAGCACCTTCTCTGCCTCTGGAATGACGGGTAAGGGTCACCGAGCTCTGAATTTGGAAACACAGTTTTAGCATGTGCTCTTAAGGCTGAGACAAGGTTTGAGCTGGGCATCATTATTTGAAAGGAGTTTTGTCTTCCTCACAGAGATGCACACTCACATGGTGTCAAGGCTTTGTGAGAGGAGCCCCCCATAAGATTAGGCATATCTTAGAATATATGTATATATTTTTAAGAGCTAAATTCAAAACAAAAGCCTCTGAGAGCCACTAATGTATTCATTCATTCCTACAAAAACTGTCAATATTTACTGTACTGCCTAGCAAAGAAGCAAAACCTGCCAGGTAGGGTAGTGTATCCTCAGAACTCTGAAGGCAGAGGCAGGCCGATCTCTGTGATCACAGCAAGTTCCAGACCAGCCAAGGCTACACAGTGGGACTCTAATAATAATAATAAAAAAAGAAAAGGTGTTTAGCTCATTTGTTCCCAGGATCAACTGATACCTCAACAATAGCTTTCAGTTGAGAAGTGCTGGTGTATAAAACTGTATCATCTGAGGCCACATCTCCGGCATGAGATGCATATGCAGGCATTTTTCATGGTTTTTACAATCAGCGAATAACAGTAGAAGATCCATCATCTATCTATGGGGCTTCACACCAATGCCACATTCATCTTAATTCTTACCTGAGCATATATATCCATGGGTAAAGGAGAGGCTTCTTTTAGTCTCAGTTAAACATTTTGAAAGTATGCATTTAATAATAGGTTCTATTTTTCAAGTGTCAGCAGTCTTCTTAGATTGTAAGTCAAAATGAAAATTAAATTCATGAATGAAATACAAAATGTTTCCACTTTGTTTTTCATCTCTTGAATGTCCAGGTGCATCATGGGCTTTATTAGCAAGGAGCGGGAGCGTGCTCTGCTCAAGGACCAGCAGCCCGGGACGTTCCTGCTTAGGTTTAGCGAGAGTTCCCGGGAAGGGGCCATCACATTCACGTGGGTGGAGCGGTCCCAGAATGGAGGCGGTGAGTGAGGCGAGTCTGCACACAGGCCGACCTGCCTGGCATGTCTGGAATCCACCCCTGCAGATCAGTCAGTTTGAGTAACTTTGGAACTGAAATTGTGTATCCTATAATTACACAGCTAAGTCTCCATGAGAGCCTTAAACCACCAAGAGCACTGGTGACAAGCTATCTTGGGGCATGTTGGGGAAATGATGCATTTGAAAGCACAAGGCCAAGTGTTTCCTTTCTCTCAGGTTTGTTGCCTGTAGATCAAGGATATGAGTCAACACTATCTGCACCAAGTTGTTAGAAGGGATCATATTTTCCACAGTGTAAAGATTTCAGACTCAACTCGCTCCAGGCGAGGTCCGGCTTCGTGACTTTTGTCCTGTAAGTTTCTCCACACTGTTACAGGGGCCGCGAGGATGAGGTGCAGCTCAGCCCACCTTCAGGTAGAGGAGCTGCTCATTTGTCTCTGCCTGCCATATATTAAATCTCTGTTTAGCCAAATGACTAAAATGCTCCAAAGCCTTGGTGCTATACAGCAGGTTTCCTGTTATAAGACAGAACAGAACAGATGGAACAGTAATAGTAGCAAACTGGCAGTTGCTTAGGGCTTGCTACTGGAGCTGGGTTACCGTAGATGGTGGGTGCTGAGGTCCGCCCACTTTCCCTTTTCCTGGTAGTTCCTTCCCAAGCCACTGAGAGATGGAACTAGGAGACTGTTTGAAGAGGAAGACACTTAGCAGCCGGGGAAGCTCAAGGAGGGCAGCGTTGACTACAGGACAGTCAGAAACTAGGAGACTGGTTGAAGAGGAAGACACTTAGCAGCCGGGGAAGCTCAAGCAGGGCAGCGTTGACTACAGGACAGTCAGAACCCTGAGGGAAAGCCCGAGCTTGGAGCAGCAGGGCCATCCTGGACTCAGAAAACAGAGGACTGAAGCACAGCTTAGGCCCGGAGGGCTATAGGGAAGAAGTGGCTTGCAGCATCTTTGTTTTGTTTCAAGAGATTAAAAAAAAAAAAAACAGGGTTTTTCAGTCTGAAAGGAAAAGTAGGAAGGGAACCTATCTTTAATAACGTAATCTGCAGCCTGAACCCAGTAACTCAGGCAGTAATTAGTTATCTGAGCAGGCATTGCTTTGTTAAGGATGCCGAGCTTTGGGCTAGACCTAGACCCTGACCAGAGAGCAACAAGAGCATTGTTACCAGTCAAAGCAGCACTTGCTTTTCCTCCTTTAAGGAGGGTTATCGTTTCTGTAGAATACAGAGGTCCTGGCGTACAGACCCTTGCAGGCTGCACCTGGGTCTCACCGGGATCTGTCTGCAAAGCTTTAGTCCTCTCTATGGTGTTTGGTACTTGATGAGACTCACTGATTTCCTCCTTTTAGAACCCGACTTCCATGCGGTTGAACCCTACACGAAGAAAGAACTATCAGCTGTTACTTTCCCAGATATTATTCGCAATTACAAAGTGATGGCTGCCGAGAATATTCCAGAGAATCCCTTGAAGTATCTGTACCCCAATATTGACAAAGACCATGCCTTTGGGAAGTATTACTCCAGGCCGAAGGAAGGTGAGTGTGAAGCCAGCCAGCTGTGGTCCCCAGTGAGGGAGAGTGCAACAAGGTCCCTCCTGCTGCTCAGTTGTTCCCAGACAAGTTCAGTGACTCACACTGGTCCTCAGCATCCGATAGGTGCATCATGATGGCACAGATGCCAACCCATGTTGTCAGTGTTTCCAATCCATCATGTTTGAATTGATGGAGCAGGCTTTTTAAAAACAGCATAAACTCAGTAAAGTTGAAATGAAGTGTATTGCTTGACTTGATGTGACTAGTAAGAAATGAATACACATTTCTTTTTTAAGGATACTGGGAAAGTCTGTTTCTGGTTTTGTGTATTTGTTACTACTTTTTCCACATGAAAAGGCAAGGGACAGGAACCAAGGCTAACTAATTTCTAGCCTGCTTGAGTTAAAAGGAAGAAACTGAGGTCCAGGGTAAATGAGTGGTCCATTCAGGTCCATTCAGGTGGGCTCAGTTGCTTGATAGAGCCTGTTGCTCTGACTTATTATGAACAGGAATCCTTTTTGAACACAAGTCGGCCTCTCAGTTCATGGGATTGCATTTGGAAAAATTCCAGTCAGACCTGCCCAGTTTTGGAACATGCCAACAAAGCTAATAGCTTTTGAAATAGGAAGGCAAACGAGCAGTGTCCTGACTCTGGAGTGAAGATGCCTTTAGCCTACCCCCACAGCTGTGCATCTCCCATCTGCTGGACCTTTGCACGCATGGGCTTCCCTCACCTTCTTGTAGGATTACAAGCCTTGGGGAGAGGAAATCGACTAGATCCCTGGCTTTCTTCAGGTTGTTTCTCCATTCCCGCTAGGATTTCATATGACTTACGCAGGAAGGCCATGACCCCATAAAGTTTCGGGACAATAAGCTGTCAAGTCAAACACTGAGGAAATGGGTCTCTCAGAGAGACTGTTCCGCTCCCATGTAATTTCTACTAACGTGAAGTGTTCATTCTGTGCTTGCTTCCAGCACCAGAGCCAATGGAACTGGACGACCCTAAGAGAACTGGATACATCAAGACTGAGTTGATTTCTGTGTCTGAAGTGTAAGTGAGCACAGAAGACTGACATGTTCAAACCTCAGGCCAGCCTCATGGCTGGGGCCCATTGATTGTACTGGCTTGTAGCTTGCTTTTCTATTGTAGTTGATGTTGCCACCACAGTCGGACTTTTTGGAAAGACCGTAACTAGTCCCCGTGTGACTGCCTGTCAGCATTTTACTGCCTTAAGATAAACAACAACAAAAGAACAACAATAAACAAAATAAAAATAAAACAAAGTTGTATGTGAGGAATATACTTTCTCCCCAAATTGATACTTTGAAGAAGTATGAATAAAATAAACAAAAATTGATGAATGGGAAAGTAGTTCTTTTCAATTGAGAAAAGGCCAAAGTCATAACTGAGATACATTTCTCCACCTGCTTTCATCTTGTTGTTTCATTTCATAAAAGGTAGAAAGTTTTGGAAAGTCATTGTCAGTTATTTGGCTTGCAGCACTGTCTTGGGGTGAATGGATGTAGTCTTCATGTAAAAACACTCTCTGGAGCAGCCTTATCCGCATACAACCCTCAAGGTAGGGACGAGGGATTCCCCAGACACTTCTCTGGTGCTTAGCTCTGTCCAGGGTAAGCCTCAAGAGTCTGCCATCTCAGGACCACACTGCACATGCTCACACCGAGGCTTCACCAGGCAGCAGTGGTGTAGGCTTCAGTCTGATGGTTGCTCCCTCATGTCTAAAGTGTAGTGAACCCCCGGGGCCGGGCTGGGGACAGAAACCTTCCATCACCTGTACTCTTTCCGATATACTTCATAAAGTGTGCGCTTTCCTGAAATAAAAATGTGAAGTGGTCACTCAGTTACAGATAAAAGAGTGTTTCCGCTGCCCACGTGACTTGGCGTTAACACCGGCCTTTCCCTCTCTCTCTTCTAGGCACCCTTCGAGACTTCAGACCACGGACAACCTGCTTCCCATGTCTCCAGAGGAGTTTGATGAGATGTCCCGGATAGTGGGCCCTGATTTTGATAGTATGGTAAGTAAGTACTGCGGCAGGGGTATTTCCACCCTGAGAAAGCCGGAGGCAGGCTGGTCCTGCAGCAGGTCTGAAGTCTGTGAGGAGCAGCCTTGGGCCATGGAAAGGGCTTTTTTGTGTGTGTGTGTTTAAGATAGCTGCAGCATCAGCTGGATTTTATGCCTAGTATTACAGGCGCTCAAGCTCCCTTCCCCTATGAAGTAGAAAGTTCACACATTAAGGGACCAAGGTTTTCGAGAGGCAGATGTATTCCTGTGACTGCAGTGTCTAGCTGGGGCCTTGGAGGAGTTATTCTTAGGAAGGGGCAGATGCCTGGTGGTGCACCGATTCCACACTAGCTAGCAGCGGCGAACAGTTCTGCCTGCTTTGTAGCTCAGATTCACCCCATGGAGCCAGCTTCCATGGCTGTGCAGGATGGGCAGAAAGAACAGTTCAGGGAGGGAGAGTTAGTGGGCGTCACGATCTAACTGGAAACACTGTGTTTACAAAAGAGAGAATCTTCTTTGGGGGATGCTTTTCAGCAGAACCCGTAGTACCACCTGCCTTTCCGCCTGAGATCCATCATCCCACGTGCTTTGTTGGCTGACGGGCAGTCTTGCTGATGCTGTTTAATGTTAAGCCCTTTTCCACTTGGAGTTAGGCCAGGTCATTTTTCAACGCTTGCTTAGCGTTTTTCAGAAATAATTCTCTTAGCCATTGTGGGTCTTTCTTCATCACTGTGTACTTTGTGCCTAGCAAAAGTTCAGTAATGGGAGTCAGAGAAGGGGACAGGAGAGAGGGCAAGGGACGATCATGTGCTCAGGGAATGCTGAAGGGTCGCCTCATCGATGCCTGTGTCTCATGTGACTTTGACTTCCAACACTTGATGAAGAGACTGAAAAGCTTAGAAAATACTGCCTTAGGGCCTCCTGACAGCTATGAATTGCTCAGCTTCTTAGTGTGGTCACAGAGCGATGCTGCTGTCTTGGCAAAGTGACCTCCAGTCTTTGTGAAGCAGTATTCTTATGGTACTGGGAAAAGTATTCTGCAAATCTCACACATGGAGTAATGGTAAAGACTGTTTCAGAGAATGTAAGCTAGATCAAAGGGTCCAAAACCAGGGTGAGCTTTTACACCTGCTTTGCTGCTCAGAGAATCCCATCACATCACCAGTGATCACATCACCGGTGCCACCATTGATGGCTCGAGTTTGTGGCCCCAGGCAGAAGCGCTTTGCATCTACTAAGGTGAAGACGAGGCAGAGCTGGATAAGAGGCCTGTGGTTGGAATTTGGCATGCAGAGTTCCAGCTGTCATCACCATTGTTCCCTGTGACCTAAAAAACTAGGCTATTAGTTCCTTCATTTGTGCAAGGAGCACTGCTTTCAGTACACTGGTGCAGTGACACCGTGGGGGGCATTTTACACCCTCAAACAAATTCCAGGAAATGGGTTTGCAGTCTTTGGATGCTGCCTGAAGCCATTCTGTTCTAGCAATTTTGTTTGATTTATGGAAGCTACACAAGGATATATGTAATAAATTAGTATGTGATAAATATTCACTCATCCTAGTAGTCTCTAGGTGAACCTCCGAGGGCCTCAGGGAATCTGTAGCAGAGGCTGATTAGGCAAGGTGAGGACGAGATTGGCCTATCAAAGCATTTTAACTTTAGCATAGTGTGCTCCACAGTGTGAGGACCACAGCATCCTCAAGCCTTTTCGTGACATCTGTCCTACGTTAACTCTTGGAGTAAGAGCATGAGGGCTGAGTGAGATGGCTCTGTCTGGAATCCCGGCAGTTGCAAGGCTGAAACAGGAGGATCTCATGTTGGAGGCCACATTGGCTTGCATAGACTTTGTCACAAATCGAATGGAATTAGGTGTGTGCTCTGAGGTGAATTCAGTTCTCAGCTGGCTTATTTCCATCAAGCGTGGAGGTGGTAGCCATGAACTTAAGAGGTAGTGAGGGTTGCTGGCCAGTCAGCCTTAGTGCTGATTGTCTATGAGGGTCAGTATACCAGGGTTTTCTATAATATGACTTTGCTATTTATGTAGTCTAATGTTTCCATACAACAGGCTTGCCCCTCGGCCTGGGGTAAAATCAGGATACTTTTCTAGAGGCCTTTGTCCAGACAGAGCTCATACCAACACAATCTGCTATTTTCTTCTGTGTGATAGACATTTTATACATGCTTCCTTTGACCAAACCTGTGTGTTAGGCACTATTAGCCAACTTAGTACACAAAGAACTTGAGGTTTGTAGAAGTTAATAAGCCAGTCACATAGTGACAGGATTTGGATGCAGGTTTTCTTTCTCTCTCTCCATTTCTCCCCCTGCTCCTATAAAACACCATTTTAACTACATATTTGTACCATCAAACAGACTGCAACCTGAGGCAAACTCTTCAACAGACTTTTCTATCTAAAATTGCTTTCTTAGAACTTAGAGGCTTTTTGTGGTCTAGTGCTGTGTTGGTTCTTCTGGCATTTGGGGCTGGCGAACTCGTAATTGTGGGGCTGCTTTACACTGAAGGATGTGTAGCAGCAGCCTGGCCCTCACCCTAGAACAGATGATGCCAGGAGCGCATGCACACCATACATGCAATGGCAGTGTCTTCAGAGTAGCCAGGGGACAGACCCATCGCAGAGACAACGGAAGTGTACCAGCATGCAAGTCAGAGGCCGTGGCAGGCCAGTGTAGTCTGATGGACAGTTTACTGGCTACAAACTCCTGTATCCAGGGCAGCTGGGCAGGCTAGGGTGGGGGGCTGAAGTGCTTTGTAGTGATTTTGCTTCTCTGGCCCACATTGGAAACAGGTTTTGTTTATTTTGTCTACTCAGTGGCCTTTAAGGGAACGTCATCATTTCCCTCTTATCCCTGTCTCCCTCTGGCATATGGCTCAGCATTTCCTCACACTCATTTTGAATGAGCTGATTTACCGGGCTGCTGTCCCCAGACTTGCATAACAGCAGAAAGCTTTATATAATCTGTTTGGGTCGAGTCACAAATTGATCCAGCAGGCCAGAGAGGAATAACCCATCAGTTTAGGTGATGTAAGCAGCCCTGATTAGTTCAGGGAGGATGGGACATGCTAGACTTTCTGGTTCCATGGTGGTAACTTGTTAATAGGAGGCATCCTCTTGCTCTAAGGGTAATAATCTTAGACACATGAATCACATGTCATGAGATCCTTGCAATCAACCTAACTGCATTTTGTCTTTTTGCAGATGAGCGCAGTATAATCACGAATTTCTCTCTTCTCTGGAGACATTTTTTCTTCCCATCTGTGATTCCCTCCTGCTACTGTTCCTTCACATGCTGTATCTCTAGGGAAATGCAAGAAAGAACAACACATTTGTTGCACCCTGTTGATAGCAAGTGGCTATTTCTCTAATTAGAAACCTGTTACTCTGAAGGACTTCATGCATTTTACTGAAGGTGAAATGGAAAGTCACTTATGCAAAATATATTCTGTGAACAAAAAACAGATCCATCCAAGGCATCGGGACTAGAGTGCGAGTGTTTTGGGAAAGGTGAGAAATATAGTAACATCCAGTAAATGCTGTGTAGTCAGGGCCCAACTGCTACACGTCACTGAACAGATGCACAGTTATGGGGACCTCTTGATGTAGGAATATTTCTGTCCTGAAGATACTGGTGTATCCCCTCTGCTTGATGACTGGAAGTCTTCCACTGTTTTACCTATGGCACAGTTCAAAGCCCACTTTATATACAATGATATTTCAAACTGTAGTGGACACCCTCCTCTGAGTAGGAGGAAACATCTTCTGCACTGGCCACGTATAACTAAAGGCACAATTGCTGTCTGCAGAGAGTTAGCTTTGTTGTTGGCTATGGCTAAATGAAACTAAATACCCATAGAAGAAAGAACATTTCTGTTTAATATATACTCCACCAAGCTAAGTGGTTTTTGCTGTCATTTTGGTCACCAGTTGAATAAAACTATCTTTGCACATCCATTAAGGGAGCCAGCTTTCTTAAGGCAGATACTTTTTTAATGTTGAAATTAGAGATCTAGATAAACCTGGCAGTTCTATTCATGTTCTTAAATAGGCTGCCTTTATTGTTTTTAGCTGGTTGTCTTAATTAGCCATAAAATTGGAGAAAAAAAGGTAGTAGCTGACTTGAATTGTTAGTCAACTATGAGTATCAAATAATTTCAAAACACAACCTATATTACAGCACTGAGAACTATTTTTCACTGATAAATGTGTTTTTCTGACAGTTACATTCACAAAAGGTTCCACGGTCTGTCCTGTGTCTTGTAACACACCTTTTCGAGGGACGATGTTTTATAGCATGTGCTGTTTTTCTCACTTTCTTCAGTGGTACCAGCACAGTTCAGTAGGTCAAGTGTTGTGTTGGTTGGCAAGTTTCTTCTGGGCAGCTGTCACAGACTGCTGTCCATGCATCTGTATCTGTCTTCCATTGTCACCACCACAGCTGTGTTGTCCCATAATCCTTTGTTTTACTTGGGTGGCGACAAGTCCACTTCAAACCCCAAGGCAAGTGTGTACAGCGCTAAGCATGCACAGGCCTTTCCTTAGCCCCACACAGAAACGGAGGCCCCCTCTCTTTCTGTGTACAGAGCGGGACTAGCTGGGCTTGCACAGACTCTTAAATTGAAATGATCAAGGAACGAAACATTTAAAAAGTACTGTTTCTGAATGCTGAGATCTAACTGTTGCTATGCTGTCTATTGAGAATAGTTGCTACAGTTTCATTCTGCTGAACTGAGACTTTGAGAAATGTTAAAATGATGTTAGTCTCCTGTTAGTATTTAATATATAAAGATATTTAAAATGTCCTTTATTGTGAGTTGGTTTAATATGTATCTCATTTATGTATCAGGCCTATTTTAAAATGTTTAATAACACTAATTTTTAGGTGTTACCCTTGCTTACTGTCCTGGTAGTCACAGTAACTGTGGCAGTTTAAGGTAGGTCAGTGGGCGAGGTCGCTTGTGAGGAGGCAGTGGCACAAGGGTCCCGAGTTTAAAGTCATTCTTGGCTACACAGCAAGTTCAAGGCCAGCCTGGGCTATGTGAGTTCATAACTCCTGAAAAAAGAGGGGGCAGGACATAAGAGAGGTATCTAAGTTCATGGAAAACAACCCATTTACATTCTTAGGTAACTGACTGTTGTAAGAAGTCACCAAACATGACCTAGCTTAAGGATGTTTGTGTATTTCAGTTATGTTTAGGATGGTATACTAGCATATATGTAGCACTTTGGATAAACTGATTGTATTTAGGCACTTTCTGAGGTGGTGTTACATAAATGAAATCTATTTTTTAAAAGATTTACTTATTATATATACAGTGCTCTGTCTGCCTCTGTGCCTGCACACCAGAAGAGGGCACCAGATCTCATTATAGATGGTTGTGAGCCACCATGTGGTACTGGGAATTGAACTCAGGTCCTTTGGAAGAGCAGCCAGTGCTCTTTAACCTCTGAGCCATCTGTCCAGCCCTAAATGAAATCTATTGACTGCTTGAAAACGAATGTGGAATGTGAAGGCATGTGTTGGCAAACAGAGCAGACCCATGACACCCCACTGCACAGGGACGGTGCCATACTAAGCTGGAAAGTTAAAAAGTCCTTTACTTTTGGAGCTGGGAGGCTGCTCCCCATCTTGAGGGTATTATTTACCTGAAGGCATCTTTTGAGATTCACTCATTTATTCATCAAATTAGTGAGTATTTGCTTTGAATCAGGCATTATTCTAAATGCTTGGAAGACATTAGTAAAGAAAACAAATGCCCCATTGTCATAAACTTAAGATGTTCTCAGATACTGGGCCGGACCTTCAGTAGTGACTTTACCCATTTAAGTTTAATGGTCAGTGGAGTAGAGCACTTACAATGGATGCTTCCCAGCACCTACAAGGTGGCTCACAGGCATTCCGAACTCCAGTTCCAGGGGCTCTGATACTTTCTTCTGACCTCCATGGGCACCAGGCACTCATGTCCTGTATATACATGTAGTGTATATAATCTAGTATTTTCAACTAGTCAAAAGCTATAGATAATGTAAATGTTACAGAAGAGTGTGCATAAATTCCAAGAAACAGCATTTAAACTGAGTGCAGGAAGCCAGGCTCCTCAGTACAGCTTCAAAGCCTTGACTGTTCAGTGATAAAGAGACCTAGCTTTCCAGTTCTGGGAAACTAATTTTGGGCTGTGTATTCTGTACTCAGACTTTAAAGGGCCAACATGATTTGTTATAGAAAAAAAACAATAATTTATTAAAATTATGCTTGAGTACACAAAGAAAAGCTACCCAAAAGGTAGAGATGTCACATACCTATCGTCAGACTTGTGAATTTTGTATTTTATAATGCTGTCACACTCAGTTCCTTACTGTTTCTTTACCATTGGGAGTGTTTGCAGCCTTTCCCATGCCTTGTATGTAAAGTCATGATACTCTGGTGTCATGGCTGCCCCACAGGGCCCAGTCAGGTCAAGCTCCAGAACAGGAATGAGCCCTCTGAGCAGTCCTGTAATGCCTTCCAGCCCATTGGGTTAGCTTCTGTCACCTCATTTTAAATTCGGGGAATTTAAAATATTCAGGGCAAGAATATGGGATTGAGAGTTCCATATCATGGTTCACTCATGGGTCCCAGCTTCATCAATAAAGGAGTGGGTTGGACCAGATAATTTCACTTGTCACTTCAAGTTCTAAAATATCAGTGATAGAGATGGCCTCACCACAGTTCCTATAACCAAGCAGCTTGGTTTGTGGCACAAAACTCTGCTAAAATGAAAATGTGGTTGGTATGATGTTCGCATACCTTCTCTACGGTTAGAAAACCAGACACTAACTTTTTAAGCCCAAGAGGACCAGGGCATTCTGTCATTGGAACTGAAAGCCATTTCAACATGAGAGGAATTCAGGGGAGCCGCCAGCTAGTCCAACTCAGATGCCAGTATGGCAGCACTGGATCTGCTCTCCCAGTAGATTCCAAGGCTCCATAGAAACACGCTGTCCTTTAAGGCTGCCTGCAATGACACAGTGCAGCAGGGATCTCCTGAGCACGCTAACTGTACACACACAGGACCAGCCTTTGGCGAGCTGAACTAGCCTGCCCACCACTAACAGTGACAGCTGAGGCCTCCCAGGTCTCATCTTGGTCCTGTGGGCCAAACATCCCACATGACTCTGTATGCCCCCTGGCTCACAGCAGGCTGGATATAAAACAGCTAGACTTACAACTCAACAGTGCAGAGGAAACCTTAGTTGTTTTAGGAAAATTCATTTCTCACAACTTGTTTTCAACACATGTATTTATTATGCTGTAAAAAGCAACACTACCTGAACTCATTTAAAATAAATAATTCCCAATTTCAGAATACTTACAATGTATAATTTTAAGATTTCATTTTGGGAACGTCGGAAGTAAATACATTCATAGCTTTGGACTCCCCAGGAGGGCCCTAAATCCAACATCAGGTCATTTAGTCCCTGATAAGACAGCAGGAACGGCGAATCCAGCTGTGTAGCTAAAGCGCCCTGTGGGCAGCAGTAGGAGGGAGTGTGTCACCAGACACGGGTGTCAGAACAGGGACGGAGAAACAGCAGTGTGAACAGCTTCAAAGCAACATGACCATGTACCGTTTCCACGGCATAGAAAAGTTACACAAGATTGTAAAGCCAAAAACAAAAACCATCTTTGGAGTTTACTGATGGCAGCAGTAATAGCTCATTCAAGCATTCAAACAAAATGTTCTCGGTGTTATCAGCCAATAGCAAACAGTCATAACACCGTGAGGGAAAAAAGCATATTTAACCAAGCCACAAAGACTGTACAAAACAGCACTGATCTCAGAAAAGATGACAACTTTTGTTTTCAAATAATATACAGAATAATACTCAGAGAAGCCTCAAAGTCACTGGTAATATTTACGTCAGGCATTGAATCACACAAAGCCAGCTGCTTTGGGAATAGTGCTATTTTGGTTGATTCCAATTAAAGCATGTTCACTCCTTAACTTTGGAGGTGATGTCCCTGCATAGAAATTTCCAGGTACCACCTGTTCACCTGTCTTGAGAGGCTTGTGGAGGCAGGAATGCAATGACAGGATCGGGTGCCTACCCACCATCCTCCCTGTCTCTGGAACTAAGGAACATGGTGGTGCCTGGTTCAGTAAAGAGACACTAGCCACAGTTTCGTTAAAGGAGGTGCTGGCTAGAGAACGGGAGGGGTGGCTAAAAAGAGGATCAGAGCATCTGGAGGCTACTGGAGTGAATAATGTGCCATCTGTGTTGAAGTGAGGGTCAAAGGGGATGCTGTATCAGTGTGGTAACCACTAGTATTTGTGTAGTTGACAAGTTTGCTTATTCCAAAGCAGTTTCCAAGAAGCGCATTTGTGTGTGTACATGCATGCACGCATGTGCTTAATTATTAGAAGTTCTCACTAGCATACCCCTCATCTCTTGGAGGTACAACAGGGTACAGTATGTTCAATACCTAGAAAACTGTGTTCTTCCTAAGGTCCCTTTTACCTCTTTTCTCAGTTAATCATAAATTACTTTCCCAACACAAAGCAATGGTGAATCTAAATTTTACAGTGAAGTGATCTCTTCTCACTGAGTGATACAATCCAGACAGAAACAGAGGGAGGGAATCCAGAATGATGCCTGGCCCTCCAGAAAGAGTGCCAGCTAATGCAGACTTCTGACAGTAGGCTAAAAGCAAATGTTACCTGTAGCAGTTCCTAAGTGTATCACTGTAACTTTGGTAACTGAAAGCATTTCTGAATTTTTCTTTATTGTAGAAGCTGAAAAGGAACTTACGAGTCCGCACGGTCTTTACCCTTAAGACTGACGGCTAACTTAGACGTCTTACTGTTGCTTCATCTGCTCTAGATTGACGGCCAAGCTCTCTCTCTGATGCTCGGACTGTGAGGCTTGATGACGTGCTGAGGAAACATGAAAACTGCATAGCATGCCAGCACTCACTCTTTCCCAGACAGAGAGCTAAACACCACAGAGAGGCTGGCCTAAGGACTATATAGAAAGGAAAGGGTTTCAAAGTGCTAGACTATATTCACACATAGGTTTTGGTCACCAAACAACAGATTCCCTGATAAAATCTAATCAGAATTGGCAAATTCTATGAACAGTTAGTAGCTATTTTAATATTTAAGGAGTCACACTGTGAGGTGGGGTGATGGGAGACATTTTAAACTCTCAACCATGTTAGCACATACGGCTGTCCAAACACTCCAACTAAATCTATATTTAAAGTCTTGAAAATCGCACTGTTTTCATCTAATAACAGCATCGACCCCTGTGGATACACTGTACATCAAAGCTTAACTCATAAATGCATATGAGCATATCATCACCCAGGGTTGAAAATTTACAAATCACACAAATCATGAAGATCACACTGTTCAGCTAGCATCGGTAACTATTCTTTTACATCAAATTGTACAACGCACGAGGTAACTATTGCTCACATTATGAAGGGAAGTTGTTTTATTTCTATTTTTCCCAAAGAAATCAGATGTGTCCTGTGCGCACAATGAAGGAAACTCCAGTAACACTGAAATGACAAATGCTGTAAAATACACATCACTACCAGCTAGAAATATACATTTTCTTCATAATCATGTTCCACAACTCCGTAGGTAAGTGATTTCAGACCGTTATAACAGCCCATCGAGGTTCTTGTGGACAGTTTGAGTTTCCTTTCCATTGTCAGGGTCCCCTTGAGGTGTGTACTGGACTTGGTATTCCTGGAGGATTTTAAAAACATCATGGTGTCCGAAGTGCAGAGCCTCATCCATGGGGGTGTTATTCC